GGAAAATCTTAAAGCAGTTACAGGGCCTTCCCAATCAGGTAGCCAACACAGCAGTCTACAAATTAATTGGTGCAGTACCAATCCGTATGGTGATAGACAGAAATATGCTATCCTTGTTGATGAACATAATAAGAAACAATAACTCATTAGAATTTCAAATCCTGGAACGTCAAGTTGCAATGAAAAATAAAAAAAGCAACATATTTATAAATAGAGTAGAGGAAGCTCTGACAAAGTACAGGATGGAACCGGTTGAGAATCTTATGAAACACCCAAAATCAAAGGAAAAATGGAAAAGGATAGTTAGATATCATCAAAATAAATACTGGCATGAAATATGCCTTGAAGACCAATCCAATAAAAAGACATTGGCATATCTTCAAATACAGGAAAACCCATCATTTATGCCGCATAATATCTGGCAGTGTACAGGAAACAACCCTACAAATGTGAAAACAGGAGAAATAAAGAGCAGGCTAGTAACACAAACGTATATGCTACAGAAAGTTAGGTCTAAACACAATAAGAATATATTCCCAATATGTACATTGTGTAATACAGCAAATGAAGACCTAGAACACTTCATACTCTCATGCAATAGGCATACGCATACACGTGAAAGGCACCTCCAGAAAATAAAATTATACCTGGACAACTTAAAGAATGGTCTCTACCAGAACTTAGTTAACTGTAACATGCTTGTACAAATTCTGATGGACTGTACTCACAAAAGCATTAACTACGGATTCCATATGAAACATCAACAACACATAGAGCTAGAAAACCTCACACGACTGTTCTGCTACGACATGCATACCAGTAGAATGAGGCAGATGGCAGGGTAGGGGTGAAGGTGTAGTGACAGTTTATGTAGAAGCATATTATTTATTAAAAAAAAAATAACGACAATCCGGCTGGCTATTTACCTACATGTATCGTTTATTTGGCCATTTTACAGCATAGTACTTTAACATTCTCTTTTCCTTCATATTTACCGCATAGTGCTTTAGTGTACCTAAATTAAAATATATCTACATATTCTGCAGATGAACGCATATATCCAATATTAACAGTATGTCCAAAGTATAAGACATTAACATTTAGTGCTTTCCTATAGACTGCTATAAAGCTAATGTATATATTCGCACACCTAGCATAAATTAGCAACTAGTATTTTAAGCATGGAGCAGTGAAGATGATCACATCCGTCTTAATCGTAACTTCACTGTAATGTACGATGTATATAATATGTAAATAACAACACAGTATTTGTGCAGCACGCTTTTACCGTTACCGTTATATATATATATATATGCATGAATTGGTGGATTAGTGGCACGTTCCTTTGTGTGTAATATGAGTTTTTAGTGGGTGCGGGTGTATATTTGTATATAGCGCATTAGCCATCCTACTATGTAGGAGTGCGCCGATCTAGAACGGCGATTCATACCTGTAGAAAGAAAGAAAGTTGTCTAATTAGCTATCATACCACATCTCTTTTTTGGTCAATTACATGATGTTATGTGATACAATATCATTTTTCGGTCCTCTCTTTGAGTGTACGCTATCATAACAGATGTTTGTCACCATATTGGCTGTTGCCTCGTATTCATATCCTGAATACCATAAGAGACATTTCGAAATAATAAAATACATTCACATTAAGTTATCTCGTATATTTCATAGCTGTACTTTATACCTCCCTATTTTGATAACATTGAGCCACCAATTATTTCTTATGCTTATAAAAAAATATAAAAACTAGTAAAAACTTAATATTTTATGATACATCAGTTACATCAGACGTCAGAATTGAAAATAAATTTCCTTCAACATGAGACCAAAATATGGTCCTCAATCGATAAATTGGATAGAGTCTTGTCGAGTAATTAAAGATAGTGTAAACGGGAGAAAAACACTTGATTCTTATTTGAATAAATGTATGAATATTGTGGATATAAGCATATGACATTTCGAAAAAAGAGGATAAGACAATAAAAGGGTAAATAATAATCACATTTTCGGACATAAAATAAACTTCGCAAAGCATTTTGTTTTCGAACCGGCCGACAAAGCAGTCAGCACTGTGATAGCGGAATGATTTAAATACTATACGGAAGTTCGCGAGAAGGAATTTATAAAATCCTCTGCATTCAAGACCTTTTGCTGAACACAAAGTCAAATGGAAGACAATCATATCGTTTTCACATCTAGGCTAAATGCCTCCTCTGAAAATTTGAATGCTCCCTACTATGAATTAGCTACCAAAACTACATAAAAAAACGTTAAAGATCGTTTCATCAAGCCTCCTCGTATGTGTTCTATAACAGATCTTCATGTCCGTTTATTTAGTTCCTTGACTTCAATTAAATCGCTTATTTTTTTTGTACTAAAGCAAAGGATAGAATTAATTATTTTTGGAGTGTAAAATAATCTTGGATGTTTTAGATAAATTACGTGCATTTGATGGTGTTTTCAATTCGGTTGGGTTATTGTGTGATTCTCTACAGTACACTTCCAAAAAACCTAATCAAACAGAAGTTTTCATATAATCAAAGGGTCTTTTAAAAAAATTTAATTTCAAATTTATTTGTTCTAACTCCTTTAAAGTTTTATGTAATAAAGAGGTACATATGCTAGGTAATTTTACTGGAACTGTGCTGAGACGATTAAAGCTTTCAATTTTCTATATATTTGGCAAAACCTTTCGGAATTGTGGGTCCTGAATGCCCTACAACTTCGTACTTTATTTGGCCTTTTTAACTTTTTTACGAGCATCACTGGTGAGTATGTTGTAGACGAAACGCGCGTCTGGTGTATAATATTTTAAAGTCTGGTATCAATGATGATTTTATAGATAACAGACTTGTTCCTGTATTGTTAAGATTCACAGTTTATGACAAAACTCAGTATTGATCCGTAAAAATGTCCATTTAATAGAAAAACAGTAATCACAGTTACTGTTTCCTTGATGATATTATTTCTTTAAATAATAAAGAATACTTCTTTGACTGGACTACGGAAATTTACTTCAAATGAATATTATAAAAACATCAATAACTGTCCTTATCCGTGATTATCTGTAGTGCAGTGATTTCAAAGACTTTAATGAACATTATCAATCTACAACTGGTATTCGAAAGGTATTATAGCTACTTGCAGGACATTACTTGGCTAGCAACGAAAATGGCATCGTAAGAGATGAATCAAGCACCAGTTTCGCTTGAGCTATAAACAACTGCACATGATTTTGAAAGCAGGGTAAACATATCCCCGCTACTACATGCAGTTGAATACTGCCGCTCAGTGAAACAGAATAATTCGAAACAACACATAATATTTCGAAAAGTACTTACAAATTATTTCTAAATGTCATATCAAATAAAATGTAAAGAAAAATACCAATACCATTGTGTAATTAGTAAAAGACAATCATTTACATTCAATTGTAGTTTTACATACTTATGCGGAATATTTGTTTTAATTATTCTTACTCGTCTGCTCAAGGTTTTTACCTGGTACTCTTATTTTTGTCTCTTTAAATCTCATCTAAATATACAGTTAGTAATACGTGATTTATGTTTAAATTTAACTCGTATCATATGAATTTTGAAGATAAAATCTGACCAGAATAATTTCAAATTTTTTAGGAAAAATATATTCCAAACATAGCTACAAAACCAGATTAAAATTTTCTATCTAGTTCTGATCTTAAAGCAGCATAAGCTGTACTCCGATTTGACCCACACTCTCATATTTGATTTATAACATACTAAAACGTATATCAAAATTACAAAAAGTCAAAAAAGACACAATCAACAATACATGGACTCGTTATGATGTATGCACGTGCAATCGTTTAATGGCGATTGTTTTCTCTAGACAACGATCGGCTTGTTTTCCTAATATAGATTCAAAAGTATAAGAATGATTTTTTGTGGGCTAAATCAGTCATTGAAATGGTTCTTCTGGTGGCCAACGCACAACCAATCTCAAGCCTAGGGGAACACTGAAGATCGCATTTATGCGTATTCAATTGAGGTTGAATAATTGAAAGTTTTACACTAAATCAGCGATGATTTTGAGCTTATTTTGACAAAATTGAACAAACTGACAATTACTTGCGAAACATTATTTCAATGTTCCGCTTTTGTAAATGTTTGAAATCAAATAAAATTTTGATGTTTTGTCTTAATTTAAGCTAATGCCCCCTTTTAATATGTTAACGCTTTGATATATCGTTTAACTTTACAAATGTATGTTTCACTTTAAATGTCAAATTTATAGTAAATAGTCTTGCTTTCAGTTATGCATCAAACTAAATAAAAATCTAGTTTTAAAAATGATTTTAATTTTGGAACTTTTGGTTTTCATTGCTCTCCAACTTCGTATTTGAACATTGATGCGTGTGCCACTGTGATGCGGGTCAGGTCGTCCAAATCTTAAATGAGTCTTCTGAATCATCGTAGTTGGAATAATAATATAACAAGGTAGAAAATATACCATCTGAAAATCAGCTGATATGTGGTAATCACACTAATATTATTATTTGGAGAACGGTTTACAAAACCAAAATCTTGTTAAATCAAACGGAATTGACCTTTTTTTATTATTTTGTGTTGTAAGCAATGTTTAAATCTTTTGGCTTTTCAGAAATATACTATAAAACACAACAAACAAATCAAACAACTCTACTATTAATAAAACCTATTCGTAACGATCAAATTCAAATTTAAGTGAACAATTCTAATAATTTTTTTTTAGATATATTTTAAAAGATATGTTTAAGGTTGTCTGAATCTTTTTGGTTTGTGTGTCAAGATTCCTTCGATCGCCTAATTGTCCGTTGTTTAAATTTTCAAAATCCACCAAGATATAAGACAAACCATCCAATATAGTTTTTTGGCGTCACTTTTTAGAGCAAAAAATTTGAAAAATAATCAGGAAAAAAATTCATTTCGTCTATTGAATTAATTAAAGATTTGAAAGCATCGAAAAAATCATGGCTAAATAATTCATTTATTGTATGAAAACATTTACATATACAAATAACATATACAAATAAAAATATACCCTTACAAAATAACAGTAAAGAGAAGAAAAGCAGAAAAGATGGTGCTTCTATAATAATTTTGCAAAAATAAAAAGATATTACATTACATGTTTCAAATATATAAGATGCATTCAAATAAAGGAGTAGTTCATAGAAACTTGGTAAATTAGTTACGAATTTGTGCAATTACGGAGGGTGGATGTGTATAAGAAATAAAAATAAATTAAGAGTTAAGATAAAAGGGCATGCATCAATATAGAAATCAACAGATATGACAAATATGCCTAGTGCGCATATGGCACTGTGAATCCGACATCCTTAAAATATGTCTGCCAAGATTGAAATATACACTTTTTAGAATTCGAATTTATCAAGTTAATAACAAAGGTTTATTACTTTATGATACAGGGATATCCTTCTAATGATGATTTTCCAAACACAAACAAAATTATAATTAGGCAAATTTAAAAGAGTGATGTACCCACATTCAAGACTGTAGATGCAATGATGTATTCCACACGCAAACTTTAAATGTGTATTGTCATACTGTCAAAATGAATAGCTGTAACCTGTATTAACCAGGATACATGTTTAACTTTCATTCTGTTACTTTTCTTCGTCCTTGCTCAGATATCTCAGAAAACTTTCGTGTTCTGCTTTATGACCAGTTTCTTTCTTTATGGTATTGATTATAACTGTTGATAACGGTTCGTCGGATGAATCTACAAATATATGACATTTCAGAAATAAAGTTTCTAACATCTATACGTATACGTCATTTATTCCCTGGTTGAGAGTTGTCTCATTAGCACTCGTACCACATATTCTTATAGTTATATTTATTGCTAAGACAATTGTTCATTTTAAATTACCACTTCAACAGATAACCCCGAAAGTTGGATATGCTTATCCTATTATACTTCACTTAGCCCAGAAGACCATAGTGAACAATATTTATCATTGTCTGTCGTTTGTCGTCCGTAATCAGTTGCAACGATCTCCTCTAAAACTCATGACCGATCGGAACCAAACTTTACTGCCCATATCCGTGGGTTCTTTAGTTTTAAAAAATATGCCCAATGTTCCCGACTACCAGCCAACATGACCGCAAAATGGTATTATCTTTAAAACAGTCATAGATAGAGAAAATGTGGCATGAGAAAAATTGTTAATAATGTCAAGACTTTTTTACTGTATATCCAGATCAAAATTGTGAGACGACTCTGTGTAAGAGTAATAGATATTTATATGTTTTAGACTATTATCTTGAAAACTATAATAGATAGAGAAAAACTCTAATGGCACAAATGATCTGCAAAAAAGATTTACAAAAAAGTCAAATGGCCGAAATCATCATTCTTTTTCTCCGAGGAATAACTGCCGCTGAACGATGATTTTTACCCATTTTATGTTTTGCAGAAACCAAAGTTGATAGAGAGAAACATTAAATAGTAAAATTATATCAGCAAAATAATGAAAAATGAAAATAATAATATAAATTTATTGCGTCCTACAAATGAGCAAAAACTCCTAAATAGTTAGTCGATTTCTGATAGTATTTTTGCCCTTGAATGACGATATTTACCCAATTTTGTGGTTATTTGCAAAAACAACATAGATAAGAGAGTACAGTAATAGCAAATATGATAAGTAAAAAGTAAAATAACAAAAATACCGAACTCCAAGGAAAATTCAAACGGAAAGTCCTTTATCAAATGGCAAAATCAAAAGCTCTAAAATAAGATAAATCAATAGGCGAACAAAGAATTGTCAGTTGCCCTTGAATTATGCTACCTTAAGATATTATAAGTTCATGTCTAAAAATCAAAATGCCTAAAACACATTTAAAACAAAACAAAAAACTGCACAAATGGAATTAAATCGTGAAGATTTTTTAAAGCTATTTCCATCGAATTACTGGTGTAAAAGGAGATGAGAGAGGTGTATATGATCGAACAGACAGTCCATAACGTATATCCAAATTAAAACCACTAAAGGTGGAATAACTTGTTAAATCTTACCATCATATACAATGATTCCACATCTTTCTTCATACTCCTCCTTTTTTGAAGCCGTGTTTAGAATTCCCCTCAGTTGTTCTGTCAAGTCCTCCCTCTGGTTCATCATCTGCTCATAACTAAGTCCAGCAATCATTGAGATATGCATATTGTACAATGTCTTCACAGGAGTAAGATATTCAGCCGCAAAATAATAATCTGTATCTCTTGTCTTTAAAAACCAAAAAGTTAAATTTATTAATAGCATAAAATGTGTTTAAACAATGTTTGCAAATGTTACCAAACACTTTTACAAACTAAGGGTTTAAAGTCAAAATAATATTTTGCAAAATAAATTATTTGTGAGTTATGTATAAAACCTATAGTCAATATTTTATGATTATTTGAACATTCATATGCAAAAGAAATCTTTCAGTTTAGCGTGTGTATATTTGCATCCAAACATGGACCATTAACCCATATAGAATCACATAGGCAAAGTCCTTACAACTAGTACTGTTAGGACAATCCTTTCACAAAGCCATATTTGATTAAAACAATATTCATCTTTGTTTAGATGACGTCAAGCACTTTTTCTATAATTTTTATTAAAAATTTCATTATACATCAACAATGATCAGTCCAATATAATTGATATTATACAATTATTGACTTTTGTTGAGGTTGATACAATGATTTATCAACCCCAGAGATATATGATATTCACCAAGGCCAACGGCCGAGGGTGAATGTCATATCGCTGGGGTTGATAAATCATTGTATCAACTGAAATCAAAAGTCAACAATTGTTTTATTATATGACTTTTTATCCTTCTCCAATTTTCAGTATTTGCTCAAGATACTTTTAAAACTGTTCCCTGTTTTTATACTAAATGTATCATCTGCTTTTGCAGTTGATAATTTTCATAAGTTGAAATATTCGATAAAGTTTACTAAAAAAATACACCGAAAACAAGAAGAAACAAAAAACGGAAATTTACACGACGCTATAAACTTACGTCATTGACGTTGCCTTGGAATATCTATATTTAGGTATACAGACACTGTTCCGAATCTTATATTAACCTCTCGGGATTTTTGCCGCGGTGAATATAATGTTTTATCAAAGAGGATTTCCTACGCTTTTAACCAATGAGAAAACAAAAAATTTATAGTCATCTAATAAAATTAATATTCATGTAATTCTATGAACGTTCAACAGTCAACAGATTCATTTTTATTGACATTTAGCCATGAAAAAGGTTATTTCAATGAACAACCAACTCTTTTTGAAACCTTAAATATGGACATTTGTCAAAATCATAAAAGGCTACGTCACTATTTTCTAGATGCGGAGATATGATATATCTGCATTAAAATAGGAGCTTTTATAACAATATATAGTAATAAGAAAATGTGGAATGCTTGCAAATGAAACAAATATCCTCCAGAGTTCAAATGACGAAGATAAAAGCAATATGTATTGTGCATCATATTAGTTCGCTATGTTCAAATTTTGTGTTTGATTAAACTTACACAAATATGCCACAGATTACATGGGAATATCCGCTTTGCTCCAAACAGATGTTTCTCTACTTTTTCGACTCTCCATGGACCTTTTATTTCTGCATCAACCTCACTCAAAGTCGGTCTAAACTTGCAACTCTTTGGAATGATCTCCCACATCTGTTGTGAGACAACTACGTTGCGCCTACTTTTTTCTCTGTATTTACGTATTGGATCCTTCGACATACATTGAGTTACACGTTCTCTAAAATCTACCAAAAATACTTTGTTTATTTTTGACATCACTTGAAAAGTTTGTGTGACGAGACAGATCGTAATGCTCACATTAACTTTTAAAACTGAATATTTTAATAATTTTGATTTAAAATCAGACATCTTTTTTTTCTTTCATATGTAGTATAAGTAATATCATTTTGATACGTCACATATGTTAAAATATGTAGGAAACTATAGATTTATTAATCCTACCTGGAAGTACGTGCTTTAAATAATTCACAAAGAAACCCCACGCCAATCCATATGCAATATTTCCGACTGGAATTTGGGATTTCATTGACACATCTTTTCCTAAAGAAAGGAAACAAATAATTGTATAGATGATTTAATGATATGATAATGGTAAAACAAAGATCAATCAAGTAAAACAATTGCAGAGAGATAATTGTTTTCAAGTCTATTCTACATGACATGTTGCATGCAAAAACATGGAAAAATGATTTGCTATCAAAGTAGCTGTAATCGGTGACTTATTACAGGAAAAGATATTCAATTAAAGAATTTGAGTTTATTCACCCTTTCTTAAATTGTCAGTCACTACATCCAGAGACTTCTGCTACCACCCGCCCATTTAGGACCTTCAAAAATATATTTTGAAGTCGAAATATACAGATGTGTAACTTGTCAGATAAACTAATTGGTGGCCTAGGGCTTTTTCCTGCTCTTTGTTCGGGTTGTTGTCTCTTTGACGCATTCCCCGTTTCCATTCTCAATTATAATTGAACACTCAGGATTATGTTGTTAATACTGGCGTCAAACTGTACAAACTGTACGGTTAATTCATTACAGGTATCTGTCTTTACTTTTCTGTTTGTTTTTTTTCCCAAAACATTTTGGTGCTTGCACAAAAAGAAACAAAAATTCATAAAGTAAGCAGCATTTGACCAAGAACACGACAATGCATCTAAAAAGAACGAGGTTATATCTTACTTTTAAGTATGTCATACTCGTTTAATATTAGGTAAATATTTACCATTGTTCCTTACTAATTTGTGCAGCTTTACATGTTTCTTTTAAAAGAAATTTACAGTTTAACATTTATAAACCTATTTTAGGTGACAAACCTTTCTTTTCAAATGGAAATCTAGAAAAATGAAATGGTCATTTATCAAACTTCAAATTTACTAACTTAAATACGGACATCAAATGCTTCAATTGTTTTATCATATCTCTTTTTGTTCAGGTATAGTAGATATATCGTACACACCGTATTCATTGATATGTACCTTTAACAGCATCAACAATCATTTCCAAGTAGTCTTCGTCACGGTCTATACATATATGCCTAGCCCATCTGATGAATGAGGGGATATCTGCTGGTGTGATACCATTCAATATCGGAATTACATTCAACGAGTTCGTCTCTATGCCAATGCTTAAAATCTCTGCCAAAAACATGCTGATCATATCTCTATGTGATGATTCCGTGATGAACAATAGGACCCATCGTGCATCTCGTACACGTCTTTCGATTTCAGACAAAGAATCACCATCTCTCTCGCCTGATGATGCAGGTCGTGCCTGGGAATACCTGATTTTGTTTTTGTCAAGGTGATCTTTTACTTTAAAGACCAAATGCTTGTCTTTGTTGTGATATAATAAACACACTTCGTCCCTGTAACGTTCTGCTTCATCTGCTTTTTTCACTCCTTCCTGTTAAGAAAAAGAGTAAGTATTCAAAGCGCGCAGCAACATAAATTTTCCTTTCTTTTTTTTTAAGAAATCACGGAGTGTTTTCAAAGTTACATAATATATTTTAAAAGGCGTCGTTTGATTCCCTATTACTGTGAATCATGACTCTGCTCTAAAGTTGGTAAAGTAAGCAATACTCATAATGGCAGGTGTTATAAATCGTGGTAACAAGAACTTATTCTGTTTCACATTAGATATGATAAATCTTGTTACACAAAACACAGACCAGTATTTTGATTTATGTAGTGAATAAATGAAAACCAAAGATTTTGCTTCAACAAATGTATAACCTTATTTCAGTAATATAAAAGACAAACAAGCATACAATTAGTTCGAAAGACAAGCGCACAAAGCGCACATTTCAAAATACCACAGCCAGTGGCGGATCCAGAACTTTTCATAAGGGGGGGGGAGGGGGGGCTGACTGACCTAAGGGGGGGCCCGCTCCAGTCATGCTTCAGTGATTCCCTATATAATCAACCAAATTTTTCCCACGAAAGAGGGGGCCCGGGCCTTTTTTTTTCATTTTATGAAACCTACTTTTTTTTTTATCTCAACAACGTCGCCTCCATAAGATAGTTCTTCTTTAAATCATCTGTTGTTATTAACTTATTGTTGTATGTGTCCATAAATTAAAATCGCATATCGCTTAGCCTCAAGACTGTCTCGATTTTCAAATTATTGCAACTTCTGTTTTTTTATGGCTAACAAGTGCAACATTAAAGAGGCATTAGCTAAGAGTTAGACAAATATTTGAAATGCGACTCTTTTTGTTTCAAGTATTAATAAAAGCGGAATTTTGAAATACTATTTCGTTACAAGCAGTTAGTTTGGCCCAAATTTGTCAAAATAAGCTCAAAAACATCGCTGATTGCAAGTGAATGATTCGACCACATGTTAATCCGTATTCATGTGAACTTCAATTTAACCCCTTTGCTGGACATAGGTTACGCACGTAATAGGCGTGTTCTGGTATTAAAAGGAAAATAATGAAACAATGAAAATGAAACAAGGATGAACCATTTCGTTGACTGATTCGATCCACAAAAAAAAATCATTCTTATACAGGATAACACGATGATTAACATATTTTTTAACCTATGACATGAATTCAAATAGACCTAGAAAAAACCAATTGCACGTGGTCGCTATCTATTTATATTCATATTTATGTTTATATCGGGTTACATGACCATCGACAGTCTTCGGAGATCATCTCGATGGTTAATTAGATGGCGTCTAGACTAAAATACACACGAAATGTTGATAAATATTATCGAGTCCATGCATTGTTAATTGTTATTTTAGACTGTTTGTAATTTGGATATACGTTACAGTATGTTATACATCAAGTATGAGAATTTCAGTCAAATCGGTGAACATGAATTTAACAGCTTATGCCCCTTTAACTAAAGCAAAATAGTACATAAAGAATGAACAATTATTTGTTGTATTTTGATATGATTTCTATGTTGGATTGACGCTTTGCAGGGACATATTTACAAGCGTATGTTATAAAAGAGAGGCGAAAGATACCACAGGGATATTCAAACTCATAAGTCGAAAATAAACTGACAACGCAATGGCAAAAAGCGAAAAACGACGAAAAGACAAACAACAGTACACATAACACAACATAGAAAAATAAAGACTGAGCAACATATATTTTGGATAGTTTTTCGGTGTTTCGTAAATTATACCATAGTTTTTGTTGAAACCCCCGGCCATAACTTATCGAATTAAAATCCCCTTGTCAACTTTTAAAGTTTTTTTTTAAGATAATTAATTGTAAAATATTACTATTTCTTTTACCTCTAAAATAACTTTCATAAGAATCAGTTTAAATGTACCCTTTCGAGCCTATCAATTAAAACCCCGCCTATTTAAAAAAAAAAAAAAGGACGGACTTATTGAACGCGGGTACATGTATATCAGATAGACAAAATTCCTAGACAGCGATGGACGCATTTATAATGACGTCGGATAACGTTATAGACGGAATAAGATGTTCTAGATATGCTAAATGCGATGAAGAAACATATGCATTAGCCGTAATTACTTTTCTCTTTATCTGTAAGATTAGAACGCTGCAATAGAGATTCAAGAGTAAGCAAAGATTTCATGGACGAAAGACGACAGATTTCCGAGTTTTGAAGAGTTCTGGATTCCCAGATTAAAAGTTAAACTGCAAAGGGTTAGTTCTTTATAAATCAAAATCATTCAGTTTAAAACGTTTTTATTTTAAAATGAAATATTCATAAATCTGAGAAAACTTATTTCACAGGAATCTTTCCTAGATTTTGAATGAATCATACCACGTTTAAATATGTATCAATAGACCAAACCGTTAATTAATGAAAAGAGTTTTCAAATTGGTTATGATTAAGAAAACATGCTGCGTAGATAGGCCTAAACATTCTAATCTTCGTTTAGGATCTGACTTTCACGGTCCAACATTTTTATTATTACTTTCTAAAGCAACATAATTAAAGTCAGATGTCAGCTGTGTATTATACATTATTTTTGTTTAACATATACTATAGCTATACAATGGAGCCAATTTGAATGCAACCCCGAGTATAACAATAACCGAAAATTCAACCTACCCTAACTAATACGTTATATATATATACATTTATATTACCTTCAACACATTTGAAGTTTATTTGGCCTATTAAGTTTTGTTTTTGGCTCTCGGAGCGGTTTTATGTTTATTTCATATAAAGGACAACGAGCTTGGCCTACGTGGATTCGATTCCCACCCGAGGTATTCATTTATATAGGCTGGTGCAAAGCGTACAGATTTGCCTCATGGCCCAGCGTCGACTCTATTGATCCTATGTTTAAAAAATCAGTCAGCCTCAGCTAAGTCGCTCCGGTTTGCTTTCTTCTTTCTTTCTTTTTTCACGAAGTTTAGATATAACAAAACTATGGTATAATTGTGAAAATTATACCATACATAGCTACGGTATAGTTTTCGGTTATTGAGATGTATACTCTGGCTGCATTCCCATAGGCTCTATTGTACAACTATATGTTTATCATATATTAAACAAATTGAAAATAAAACGAGATGTTTTCCGCGTTGTCGTGCTGAGCATACTCCGCTCATAATTCAAAGTATCGGAAAACAGGAAGTGGGTGTCCTACAGACTCGAAAAGCGCTCACAAGTGACAAAAAACTAATCACTGCCAGTGTTGAACAAATATGAAGTAGGTTCATTAATTCCTGAGAACAGACTGACAGAGTGGCGAAAATAGTTGTATTCAGTATAGATTCAAAGTATCGACAAACTTCTAGGAAGTAGATATCTGACAGATCCGAAAAGCACTCAAACCTTAAAACTTATCAATGTTAAGCAGCTGACTAAATATGAAGTAATTCGGTTGAGTAGCTTCTGAGAAAAGTATGACGGAAATATTTGTAGGACGATCAGACGGAAGAACAGACGACGTGTAAAAATCATACAAATATGTCAATATCTTTACGACATACCCCTGGTTTTCCGAGTTGATCTTTAATAACGTCATGTATGCCCTGTCTGAGTTGGTATGAAATAGTAGCAGATTCTCCTTTTTCTTCATCTAAAATTGAAACAAAACTCTGGTAATTGACTTTTAATCTCATGACCTAGAACTTAACTACTTGACAGTTATACAAAACTTTTAGATTTCTTTTAAAGGAATTGTATTTTTAAGAATTTTTTTTTACAAGAAATGTTTGAGAACAGCATGCAACGGTTACTGAAACAGGCGGTGTTAACTCTCAAAGGACTGGGATATCATATTAACATTAATAGTATACACTTATTTTTAATGGCTAAGAGGAAAATAGAAAGTTTATTGTCCTCTATAGACACCAACTATTTCCCAAGGCAAACTGATGGAAAAAGAAGGTGTCGAGGGAGACAATTAACTTGTTATTGTCCGAATAGCCAGTAAATAAGTGTGTTAATATTCAAAGAGTAATTGGGTGGTGAAATTGCGTGAAAAAAAATGTTTACCGGATACTAGTTTCAAAATCTATTTTCTGGAAACAAAAATGATCCCGTACTTTTATTACACAATCTGTATAAAAGTACGGGAAATTGTTTGCTTCCAGTACATACCCAGTAAATTGTTTTGAATCTATTAACCTGTAAATTGTTTTATTTTTTGACAATTTAGTTACAATATTAAATTTATTCGTTTATTATGATTTTAAAAGAAAATTCATTCTGGAGTATGATAATCTAAAATATTTCATTGCAGTTGTAAGCACTAAAGTTACTCACCATCATACATCAACATTTTAGTCAATACGCCATACTGTTTGTACTTTTCATGGTTTAGGATTTCATTGAGGTAATGGTAAAACCTTTGAACCTCCACATCTCTCTGTTTTTTGGTGAAATTACATAAGATTTCCTCTTTAATTGTTCCAAGTGCACAAAATGCCCCTGGGTATTGAGCAACACAGAAGTATTCCTAAATAACAGTAAATAATAAAGTTTAATTATAATTTTAGTCGTCTCAAAGCTATCAGATAAGCATATTACACACATGGAATGTAGCTATAAAAGTGAATAAAATTCTATGCAAAACACGTTAAAAAAAATGAACACTACAAAAAATTGACATTACATTTCAATCAGCATTTACAAAACCAAACAAAAAAGTCTTTCGGAATTTTCTATAACATTTAAAAATATTCAAATATTTGTTTGTAGAATTTATCAAACCAAAAGACCATATACCGTAGATTTGCAAACTAGAATGTACGTGTTGTTGTGCAAAACATCCCCATTCGTATTTCAAAGCATTGGAAAACAGAAAGTAGATAGCTTGACAGATTACAACTCTTCAATGATGACCAAATATGAAAACATTCCGTTCAGTAGTTTCTGAGACGAAAATATTTGATAAACAAAAGGACGAAGGGATGGACAAGAGGATTGCAATATAGCCCCCACTTTTAGAGTGGGTTTTAAATGTTGATTGATGTTTGCCATGCGTCTAGCGGCAAATTTGTCATGCATAGAACTATAAATCAATCGCATTATTTCCACAAAGATTTGTGACCGGGGTGAATAGCGGGTATTTCGACTGTAATTTGAAAAGAAAGGTGCTTAGGGTAGAGATATGTACCTTGCCTTTCAGTTGGTTCTATATAATGGAAATATTAAATAATTTCAAGGCACGAGTACACGTGAAAATAGAACTTATCAATATCAAGACGTGCAATAAAAGTCCTTTTGGGTATTTTGTATCGCTGGGTTGTTGTCTCATGGACATTTACCACACAACTTATACTAGTCGTTTTCAAAACATTTTGTGAGAAAAAATATAAAAACGCTTTGTAGAACATAACAACATACTTACACTTTTAACATGTCCGTTCTTATCCCTTTCTGTAACTTTACACACTTTTGGACTGTATGGTCTGTTATTAATTCTTATATCAATTTCTCCAACCTCCTCAACGTCTCGATCATCATCTCCAAGTTTACCTGTACTTCTTCCACTATGCGGTAATAACATGAACAGACAGAGAGGCATATGTCCAGGATTGTCATTAAACCAGTCCGATTTTTTTATTCCTTGCGCAAGCTCTGAAAGTACAAATAAAAATAATAAAGTATAGCAAACGTCTGGAATATTGTATTATAATAAATAATTATTATTTTAATTCTAAGCAGGATCAAATTCAAGCTTTTCAGGTAACAATGTAATCTAATATGATGGCATCAAGATCACAATTTCAATAGGTCAACATTCATCGTGTTTTGTTTCACTTTTGTTAGGAATTGCAAAATTTTTTATGCAAACATTCTTACATTGAGCATCTGAGATCTAGTATTCGTTTGGTATTTATTTCATACCCTAAATAATTGCCGTATTGATAGCCCGTAATAGTGGCACACCCTATTACCGGCTATCACTATGACAGACTCAATAGGATGTGTGCTCCCGATTACCATTTCAAAACATTATTTTTGATAAAGTGTACAGCAGATTTGTGTCTGCTGTTTGAAAATGCCATTGAAATATAATTGATTATGCAATCGTGTACAGCATGTTTTAATCTGTATTACCCAATGATAGCCGGTAATAGGATGTGTACCGACTGTTACTACGGCAGATACAATAAATACATATACAAATATTTTATTGGAACAAACTCATTAACAATTATTATAGATGGTTACGGCCTATTACATATATAATAATATTTATTGACATGATAGACTGAAAAGTTACATACTAATATATCAAAGTATTAAACTATTCCTTATAATTAGACACTCTGATATGAAAGAGGAACTATTATATATTAAGACAGTCTAAGTAATAATGCCGAGCTATTGTTTACCAATAGAGATATTTTTTCAACAGTGTTGCGCTGTATTTTAAATATAACATGTATTCTATTTTCTAATATTTCTCGTTTTGAGGTAAGTCAATATATAAACATTATTATATAATCTCAATAGGATATGTGTTAATGATTGCCATTCAAAACAATTGTTTTGCTTTCGAATACAATGGATACAAATAAATCGTGTACATCAGAGTTTGATCTGTACGTGTTACCTATTGCATCTGCAGTACCGATAATCGGTAAAAGGGTGTATCAACACATTAACGAATTCATTTGTTCTATGTCGAGAGAGGGACAGGATAGAAGATTTAACATAAAAAAAATCATGGTAGATTCAATTTACATCCTACCATACCACACCATAATACCTGCAATCGGTACAACAGATGCAATCGCTAACACAGTTCCGACGAATATTATTTGGCATGGCAGGTAGGTAAATCTATTCGAACTCCCAACTTATAGAAGTATTGAATAGAAGTTGATACAACTCCTATACACACACCATAGTCTTGCTTTAATTTGTCGTTTCTAAAATAAATTAGGGGTAAATGAAGAGCAGCATATAGAAGGGCTCAACTGTTTCAATGGAAAACCAGAAAATAATTATTCGAATTTTACCTGTATTCATTTTTGTCTTTTATTCCTTTTAAATTTTCTTTCTATTTAGGGGGAATATATTACTATTAGCAGTATTTACCAAGATCCTATTTGGGGTCCTAAATATAACAGTAGAAAGTCCCGATTTTCATTTTTGAGAGTTAAGTGTGCTAAATACTAAAACAAATTAACGCAGAAGAGAGGAAAACTAACTTTCACTGATTGCGATTCTCAACGTCCTACACAGGAACGTAGAGGATCAATTCCTGGGTGTGATATTAAACATCACCATTATTCAGTTGAGACATGTTTTTCCCTTCTGAAACTGATTCTCTTCATTCTCCCATTCTTTCCTCCAGTTTTTCCTTTTTTTCTCTTATCTTAAGTCTATTTTTTTGTCAATGTTTGTATTATAATTGTTTTTCACTCTCTTTTATCTTTTCCCTACCCCTTTCTATACCTCCTCTTTTAAAATCGGGATGTATATAGTAGTTCGTCCCACTGTTGTATCCACATTTGCTACTGAAATGCTTGACAGAATTTTACGAATATCTCACATAATCTTCACTCACATTATGTAATTCTGCTCCTTTCATTTCATTTTTTCATTCGAAAGGTTTTGGTTTTGGGGATTTACTTTGGCATTTCACGAAACTTTCAGAATATCAACCATTTTGCCCCTCCTATATTTTTTTTACATGAATTATATTTAAAGGTTCCCTAAACATACCATAGACTTTGTCCTTGCTTTATTTGAGGGCGTGATATTATTTGTGAGCTTTGCTCGCAGTACTCATATTTAGTTTTTTTAAGATGATTTCAATTCTAAGACTGCCTGCATCCTTATTTATAGTATTCAAAACATTGACAGGAAAAGTATTCTTATGTTATGTTCTTCTTACATTTTTGTTTAAGGGGCCAACTGAAGCCCGCCTCCGGCTGCGGGATTTTCTTGCTGTGTTGAAGACCCATTGGTGGCCTTGGGCTGTTTTCTGCTCTTTGGTCGGATTGTTATCTCTTTGACACACTCCCCATTTCCATTCTCAATTTTATTCAAATTCTATGAAGATACTTCACGTGCAATCCGTGTCTACGATTGCCAAGACATGGCCTACATTTATTTTATGAAACCTTTTTTTTCGTAATTTGCTATCATTGACGATTTTTTTCGAAAACAAAATGAGTAAACGCTCAACTTGATTCAACTTGATTCATTGATGATATGTTTTAAATATGTGAAGTCCTAATTCAAGAATGTAAGAGACAAGCACACGATAAAATCACTAAAAAAAGTCACTAACAAAACGTCACAGAACGAAAGTCACGATTCAGTTTGAGAGAATGTTTTCACAATATTATTTGGGTCATCAGTTTTTGTAAAGCAAAACGTTATAAAAATTAATTTATGTTTTAATAGTTAAAAAGGTTATGACCATAAAATGAAATCATATGAATTTCAGTTTGAACCTTTGACAATATTTATTTGGTTAACCAATTTCTTAAATATATATAAGATTTAATAATAAAAATGTAAAAATATATGAAAAAGTTCTCTCTTAATATTGTGGATACATGAACATCACACATTTTGAAAATAATTTAGAAATTAATAAAAGGGTTACTGATACGCACTTTTCGAAAGTTAGAAACACGCTTCAGGTACTCACAAAGCGGTTTGTGGTCGTACACGCCGACATAGCAGCCATCAATGTGGTGGTGATATGACGTAAATGCTACACGTAAAGAAATGGGTTTTTTTTTTTACGTTAAGAATGAAATTATAAATTCTTCTACATTCAGGACCGTGCGTTCCTCAGAGAGTCAAATAGAAAAACAATCATAGTGTTACAACATATCATATTTTTTTGATACCATATTTGGATGTTTCCGCAATAAATTTTATCTACAAGTTGTAGATATTCCTTTGAACACCAATTGCACCCCTATAATAGCAGACTTGTTCCTGCATTGTAATGCATCACAGTTTATAGCCAAACTGGATACAGATCCACCAGAATTCTATTTAATTGATAAATTCAACAACACGCGCATTTATACTTTTGCGTTAAATAAGCAAGAATTATCTTAATCTACTGCCGACATATACCCAAGGAAACTTACTTAGAATTACTGTCCTTTCCTAGAATAAGATATTTCAGTTTCACACGAGCCTGTAATTCATTGGTTGCCGTTGGTCGCTGTCGATCATATTGGGTTTATTTTTTTTTATTGTTTTTTACATAAACCAGGCCGTTGTTCTTCTCGTTTGAATTGTTTCACAGGTTTAACATTTTGTCATGGCGGAGCCTTTATTAGCAGCTTACTATACGTTATTGGTTAGCTCATTGCTGAAAGCTATACGGTTACGTATACTTGCTTAGATCTACGTGAATTGTTTTCTGGTGGATATTTGTCTCATTGACAATAATAGTACATATTCTTATTTTAATATTGATTTTTAAAAAAGTCTTTTTCATGTATGCTAGTGAAATTTTGTTTGTTTATGATTAAAATAAATGGGGAATGTGTCCAATGATTCCCCCGCTTGCATATAACGTTATAAAGGGACATAACCCAAGAACGGTAAAAGTGACGCTATCCAATTTCGTACTTGATGTGAATTTTGTGGTAATAAGCACTGTGTATATGATTCATAACATTTGGTTGAGGCAAACTTAAGTTAGAGAACGGAAACGAAAATTTCAGCAATTTCTCCATTTGTAAAGTGGCATAACTCTAGAAAGGTAAAAGTGACGCCACCCAAATTCATACTTGATCTGTGTTTTGTGGTAATAAGCATTGTGTATAAGTTTTATAACATTTGGTTGAGGCAAACTAAAGTTAACGGAAACAAATTTCGGGACGTACGGACGGACGAACGTACAGACAGACAAGGCCCCCTCCACGGCGGGGGCATACAAATGTCTAAAATGTCGGTGTCGAAATTGAATATACCAAAATAGAATTCTATTTGATTATAATTGCTATGCAAACTCAGATGTAACGAACATTTTTTTCTCACAATGTAACCATAAACAAAATAATACCTGGAAGAACAAGTTCAAGGTACCCTGTGAAATGTGACCATGCCATTCCAGCGGCCAAATTACCAGCAGGCAACACAGAGTCAATTGTGACATCAGCTATAAAGATGAAAAAATTGATTAAATACGGAAATTAACATAAACGACTTCTACAATTTAACCATTAAGAATTGGCTAGTATTGAAAAGTGAAATTTTTCCGGTGATAATCTTTTATGACTATTTTACAGATTTGAAACGCAAATATTGCAGTAGAGTTTAACTAGAGGTGTTTCAGTTGGCTGTCAAGTTCAACTAATATAATAAGGTTGTAAACATTTAGTCACTATTGGTTTTTTCCAAAGGGACATGTACCTACATCCAATATGCTTATTTCACCAGGAATAATTTATGGTATTTATTATCATTTGAAAATGTGTCATGTGTCTGTGTCTAAGTATACGCTACGCTTATTGAATAGATTCATAAAATGCGCTCGTCTAATTTTTAATAACGTTAAAACAAAATGTATAAGATTGAGCCATTTGGTTGTTTAATATCTTAAGTACTAACCTCGAATCATTTCAATAACATTCCAGATACATTTTTCATGTAAATTTCTTTGGAGGATCACATGACTTGCTAACTGTAGCATGGGTAACTTTGGAATATTCTCTTCAACAAGGCCATCTTTCAATAGAATGATAAGCCGGAGCTTGTTGGTCTGCAAACTTTTTTCCAATGCTAAAAGTGTTTCCAGTGAAAATGAGAAATTTTCTATGCTCTCTTTAGAAAGAATTAACAGCATTTTCTTACTCGCTGAAATTGCCTGATCAATTGCCTGGTACGTTCTAAATCCAGGCATTATGTGTTCTTCTGGAGAAACATACGCCACTCCATTGTTTTGAAATATAGTAAAAATGTATTTAGATATTTCGTATTCATCGTCATTGTTATACATTACAAAAACTTCTGCATTTTCTACGGCTTTTAACCACGGATCTTCATCGTCCTTTCCATTAGGGTCTCTACCGGTCGCCATATTAGGAAAAAACTAAAATATGTAATTGGAAATAATGTTCAACACATTTTTATCATTAAAATCTTTTTATTAATCTTCAGATTATTTAATTTTCTGTTCAATAAACGCCACTTTCAAAAAAACTTTATTTTGCTATGCAGTTTGAATATCATGCAGTGTAAAATGTGTAACGTGAGGGTACCCAAATTTCACATTTTTTTACATGTTTTTCACCTACGTTTATTCAAGAAACACAAAAGTTTCCATTCAGTGATTATTTGTAGATGTGTCCTTATTTACTATATAGTTCCACAAATTTAATTTTGAATCCATACTGAATCATAGAAAAATCGGTATGAACCGATCTCTAAACAATCCAAGATTCTGTAATGAGGAGTACCTAAATTGCTTTACAACACACCAGTAAACATCGAATAGCAGATGTTTTGTTTTATTTCTTAAAATTTTTGAACAATTTAACGATATTCCTTGTTTGTTGTGCATCTTGTATGAAATGGATATCTGTGACATATTTTAAAGTAGCCTTTTTGTAGAAATAGCATGCAACGTTTCCGTAAATTTTACTTTTTTGACTGGCGACTTTATCTGTTGATATATAATGTGACCGTTTTGTATATGTTTATAAGTATATATAGCTATGTTGAAAGAAAAGCATAATGGCATATTATAAAAATACGAATAGTTTAGTCTCTAAGAAAACCTATAAGATTTCCTCTGTTTTTTTTTATTTTTGCAAAATGGATACAATTTGGGAACTGTGACGTTACAATCCTTGTTAATGTTCCATGTATCGTAATAAAACGTACGTTATCAAGAATATAGATAAACCTCATCTTACCCCGGTACTCTTAATTATTTTTGAAAAATGTTTTGAACATGATTTGTAACATTGCGCATAGCCAGTTGTTTGGAATTCTTGACTCCTAGTAACCTTCAAGGCTAACTTTAGTCTTTGAACAAAAATTCAGAAATGACAAACTTTTTTGGGGGTTAAATTTTATACTTATAGATTAAGAACATCTGAAGGGTTGCTTCAACAGAATGTTAAATCATAATATATGTTCAGACATGATGGTCATTAAAACTATTGTCTCAAAACTATGAACAAAATTGTTGAGAAAGCATCTCAAAGTTGCATTGATAATTGATGTTGTTATAACTTGTGTCTAATCCCTTTTGATACTTTTGCAAATAAAATATGTTTTAACTGTAATTGATAAATCTATGAATCATTTAAAAGTGCCATTGAGATTCTCTTAATCTTCTTATACATACACCCCCTCCCTTATATTACAAGTATTCGTGAATTCAATGATGTTTATTTATAGAAGTATAAACCACATCTCTAAAACATGAAGGCAACTTTAAACAAAAGGCATCTACAGTCAATTCATATTTTTGTTTTGTACGTCATATAAGTTTCATCTTCTCTGTGGTCACGTGGTTACCTATAGGGGATTGGTCATTAGCTAAGTCAAACTTAAGACTTAAAACGTATCTTTAAATTGCATCCTTGTTCAAGCAAGTACGATTTATAAGTGAGTGCAAAAGACTGGTAAAAAAATATATATAGGAAGATAATGCTATATTTGAGCTACCCCGTTAAATTCATAATCGGTGTATATAAGAATACTTGAGGATACAATGTGTAATTCTTAAAATATACTACGGTAAAAAGTTTAAAACTGAAAAGATGTTTGATTTGATACAAAAAAACCTGAAAGTATTGGACTGGATACATTAAATGAACACACAGTAAACTAACAGACTATACGCTAAAAGACTATACACTAACAGACTATACACTAACAGACTATACGCTAAAAGACTTTACACTAACAGACTATACGCTAAAAGACTGTACACTAACAGACTATACACTAACAGACTATACGCTAACAGACTATACACTAACAGACTATACGCTAACAGACAATACGCTAACAGACAATACGCTAACAGACTATACACTAACAGGCTATACGCTAACAGACTATACACTAACATACTATACGCTAACAGACTATACGCTAACAGGCTATACGCTAACAGGATATACGCTAACAGGCAATACGCTAACAGACTATAAGCTAACTGACTATACGCTAACAGACTATACGCTAACAGACTATACGCTAACAGACTAAACGCTAACAGATTATACGCTAACAGACTTTACGCTAATAGACTATACGCTAACAGACTATACACTAACAGGCTATACGCTAACAGACTATATACTAACAGGCTATACGCTAACAGACTATACACTAACAGACGGTGAATGATAGTGTTACATACTCAATATATGATTGAGTCTACAAACTTACCCTCAAATAGTGGCACATTTTTCATAGAAAATGTCAATAAGCGACGCAAAGAAGGAAAAGGTTCTTAAAAAAACCTAAGTTTTACAGGACATTTTTCCAAACTACTTAAATAAAATAACATGTAAGGAAATGAATATACTATCAAATAATGAAATAGAAACGGGAAATATTTAAAGCGGGAAGAATTAAATTACAATTTCAAAAGCCCGTTTAAACAAATATTTACTCTTATGACGTCATTTCTTATGCAACAAGGATATATTGAAAAAAAATTAATGGACTTTAATTATACAAATATATATAATAACAAGAAAATAATTGTAAGGTTTTCTGAACACAATTATCCCCCCTCTATTTTTTAATGTTTTTTGTCTACGTCTTCCACATTTATAACTACTAATAATATACGATGTTGGTAAGAGTCAATGAGACAGCAACCCAGCAAGAAAATAAAAGACCACTCCCATTACTTTACCATCAACGTAAGGGTTTAGAATCACCCCATTGACGTGGTGAGATAAATATCATGTGATTGCTAACTAGATTTAAGATAAACCGTATGCCTCACAAAAACTCCCAGATTCCTACAGAAATGTGTGAATTAACTAATGAAATGTATTTTACTTAAAGCATCCAGCAACTGTACTAGAATTTCATTTCAATTAGGCATAACTCAGTTCTTTGAGATTCTATAACAAGTACCATAATCCTAACCAGACAAGAATCTGTAATTCAGTGGTTTTCGTTTGTTGCTGTAGATCATATTTGATTTTCGTTCATTGTTTTGAACATAAATAAGGCCGTTCGTTTTCTCGTTTTGATTGTTGTACATTTGTCATTTCAGGGACTTTTATAGCTGACTATGCAGTATGAGTTTAGTTCATCGTTGAAGGCCATACGACGACCTTAAGTTGTAAAATTGAGAATGGAAATGGGGAATGTGTCAAAGAGACAACAACCCGACCATAGAACACACAACAGCAGAAGGTCACCAACAGGTCTTCAATGCAGCGAGAAATTCCCGCACCCGGAGGCGTCCTTCAGCTGGCCCCTAAACAAATATATATACTAGTTCAGTGATAATGAACGCCATACTAAACTCCAAATTGTACACAAGAAACTAAAATTAAAAATAATACAAGACTAACAAAGGCTACAGGATCCTGACTTGGGACAGGCGCAAAAATGTAAACTGCTATGTCATTTGGTCTCTGGTGGAGAGTTGTCTCATTAGCAATCATACCACATCTTCATATTTTTATGTTATTCAAGATATAGTGATACTTTCGATCATCCATTTGAAAATTTACTCTATGTGATAAAATGTAATTGTGTGATTTGAAATGTATAGAATATTGTTGATAGAATTATAAAAAAAGGAAATGCGAATATTGATCTGGGTAAATAATACATTGTCCCCTCTCTCACTTTTGTCTATCTGGGGATACATTTTTCGGTTATTTTTATATGTTAAAAAAGCTAACATTACATCTTAATGTTTTTGGTGATTGGGAACTTTGTATTGCGGGGAGATCTTTCATAGTTTTCCTACCGAAGGTCGGTGGTTTATCTCCGGACACTTCGGCTTCCTCCACCAATAAAAAGTGACCACCACGAAATAGCACATATCCACCAATCAATCAAATCATAGTCGCTGCTGTTTTTTTTTCAATTTATCAGGAAAATAGAATAAGTAAGAATTGTATAATGGCGATAATCCCCTATCATAACTTTCATTATATATATTTACATGATATACCAGTATACGTTGGACTATGTAAGTGATGAATGAAAAGATGTAAAAATAACGAAAAGATTTATTTCTTCATTTGCGAAAACTGAATCTCATAACTAACCAGATCTAATTGTATATATACAAATTACTTACTGTGAGATAAATCTGGTTTCGTTTCTTCCTGATATCTATTCAATCTGGGGAAATCACCCATCAACAAACTGAAAATAAAAGATTTCTAGGCACCCACTTTCCTCTTCGTGTTAACACTGTAAACACTTCATATTAAACATAAAATGGAAAATAATATAAAAGATATCATTTTTATCAGTTATATATAACTGTTTGGTAGCAATATAAATAAATTTAAAAATAGCTTGTGGAATTTACTGAACTATTTTTATCATAGTTCCTGTGATTTTATTAAAATCTATATATAGGTAAAGTTAACAGATTCTATTATTTACTTTAAGCACTAAACAACGTGCCCCGATGAGAACTGTTATAAGCAAAAGCAGTTAAATATAGAGCGTAAACAAATGTGTATTAGGTGGAACAACTGCTTATTTGCATACTATAGGTACTTTTAGCCTTCAGCTTTTTTCTAAATCCGGTTTTTTTTTTCATTTTCTTTTAAATTCATTTTTTTTTGTGTTTTTCAAATATACTAGAAATGACGTGTACTTACTATTTACTATCAAATCCTAGTTTACTATCCTCAGCGGTAAATGTTCATGTATACATAAGTGTCGTTAAATGAAATTGGATACCCTGCGTTTATCATGCTTTCAATATATTTATTTAGAAACTACCCCTTTACAACGACCGGGGGCACTTGCGTACAGGGTATCCACAAATGCGTCTAACAGCATATGCAATGAATATATACATGTCATTTTCAAAAAATTTAGAGTTAAAAATTGGTACATTGTAAAATAAGACAGCTTACATAAAAGAAATAGCACAGTATGTACAACATAAACATAGAAAAATAAACTAAGAGTTACATAAGTCATATTATACAAACAAATCACATTTAAACTTTAGGTTCCAAAACCAATGATCTGTGAGAGTACATTTTGCTCAACACTTTTTTACTTATAATAAACTGTCCATATTTTTACTAATATAGGGATCAACCTGATAAAAATAATCACCTATCAGTATTTGTATTTTATCGTAGGATGATAGCTCTGTGAAGAATGCTGAGGCCTGGGAAGGTAGAACTTAGATATTCATTTATATATATCAGTAAAGTATTCATTTCTTATAGAAGAAAATCCGGAACATTCAAGTAGGAAGTGTTCAACGGACTCGTCAGATTTACATAAACATTTGGAAAGTGGGACTCTCGCTAAGATTCATCCTATTTAAGACTTGATTCACAGGTAAACAGTTTGTTCACGTGTTAACAATTTTAGTCTTGCAGACTTAAAGTCAAGCAAGTGTAGTCGTGTTTCCCTTGTATTCAAATAAAACACAGACACGTTGTATGGGTCTTTGGTTCTTTTATTTCATCAGAATTCATGTAAATATTCTAAGTGAAAAATGACCCTCACATGTAGTGCAAATTTCTTTGCTTCACCAACTGATTGGTTTGAATCAGTTTACATTCTCTACAATATATGTAATACCTTATATAAGAATATAATAGTCCTAGACTATTTCAAAAGTAAAGATATAACAACTTCCTAATGAGCTGAAGAAAATGGCTACCACTTCATATAAAGACTTTAGCCAACTGTCCAAAACAAAGAAAAGTTAAACAAAAGATTCCCGCCTAAATCATACTGATCGACCAATAGAAAAGAAATTAATCAATAGGTTATGTTCTACCTGAATAAACTAGCAGACTACAAATTATAATAAATGTAAATAGAATATATTCAGTATATAGTCTAATAACATAAAACCTTAATTAACTGTTAAAACATAAAAATATAGCTCTTCCACACAAGTTCGACAGATACTGGTGCAAAATTAAATTTAGAGAAAACATCTAGACTGCTTTTATTATTTATCACTTGATATTCCCTTCTACAAACAAACCTTCCAAGAAACTGTTTAAATTTAGCACATACTTACAACTTCTCGTCCAATCAAATTGCTTATATTTGCCTTCTAATTTTCATAGTACATACTTTTCCTGTGTACTAAGTAACTACGCATGAATGACCACAAGGGTAAGATTTCATTGTATCGTAATCAAGATATTTAAAACAAAAATTGCCACTGGCTATTTTGAAATAAAATGCTGTGTTCCAAATTAAATTAAATAGTTTGTAATTAGTTTTCACGTTGATTTTTAAATATCCTGCTATTAAAATCTTTGGATCTAAAAAATGTTTTTGACAATTGCAAATTTTATCATTTAAATAAAGGTTAATACATATGGTTCTTTATACCTTGATTAGAGTACAACGATATCTTAAAATTATGATAATGTATCATCCATGCAATTACTTTGTACACAGAAAAGTGTGTACTATGAAACCTTGAGAAGGAAAATTAAAGCAACTTGGTGATAATTTTAACTTTCTTAAGGAAGGTGATGTATTTCGTCATGAATTGATTGATTTATTGATTATTGGTTGCTTAATGTCCAGTGGCAAATATTTCATGCATGTTTAGGACGATGTCATGAATTGAAAAACTGTGATTATGTCTGAAGATAATGTGCCACCTATATATATATATAAACATATTCTGATAAATCTTTTAGTTTTTACTTTGAAATAATAAAAAAAAGCACAAAACACAAAACCTATAATCTCTGATCTATTGGTAGTTGCTTTTTAATGCCTATCTGCTAGACTATATCTATGGGGACAAACTATCTATATGTTTCAAATTTATTATAGCTTTAGTTTTACTGTGAAATTAAAAAATGTTTTCAAAACATGTAAAGCTTCCACTGCAATTTAATTATTGCCTGCTTTTGGTCAATTTATTTTGTCATCTTACCATGTAAGAAGAACATGTATAGTAAAACACCGCTTTATATCAGTATACATACTTACACCAGCAGCTACCATCTTTTCATTCTGGAGTGAAGGGCCTTTTGAAATCACATATTTTACAATGATACTAGTGAGTAGATTTACAAAACTTCGTTAATGAGCTCCGTTTTAAAAACACCTGTGATACAAGTAGTCAGCCAAAATAAACTATCAATAGACCAATGAAAAGGTTACTCGAGTTGTAAATATGTGCTAAATTGGATAGTCTATGAAAAGGTATATACTATGAAATTAAGAGCTCGGGACAAGCCCCTCGCTCTAAATTTCATAGTATATACCTTTCCATAGACTAACCTAGACATATTCGAGTTAACATTCGAGTTGTAAAAGTGGTCCAGACCAACCATATTAAACAAATTGATCATATACTGTGGATAATCCCACCCCTTTGAAGCGTTAGGGATTTTAGCTCTTCAAATACAATTCGACATAATTTACTTGTGTCTAGGCCTTGAATCCTAGCAAAATAAAACACCCTTTGTCTATCAAGAAAATCGTTTATTGGCTCCCATCCCAAGTCTAGGAAAAGAGCAGATTTTGGAATATTCATCTTAGTATTAAAAATCAGCTTGGCCGTTTTATATTACCATGTTTCAAGTATTTGGTGACTTGAAGCGGTTGACGGTAGCCATACGACACATCCGTGTGCTAGAGATGGCCCAGAGTTCCAGAGATGATCAAATCGCTGAAACACCTCACTCCTAAATTATTGAAAACTATCATTCTGCATTGGCAATAGTATCTTAGTGTAAATTTGATACACCCATTCGGGCTAAAGCCCTCGAGGTGAATCTAATACAATAGAGAACAGACAATATCTAATAGCACAAACACATTTACATTAAATGGTTATGGCATACAGTATAGTGCATTTGAAATAATAAACTACAAATATGTGTTTATTGACAGATAAACAATTATTTGTATCCATGAACAAAAAAGGATACATATCAAAAAATAAAAAAATAAAAGTTATACAGATTTTCTCAATAAAAGACAATCATTAATATATTTTGTGGGATTTTTATAATGACTGGCAAACTGCTTTTCAAAAGTGTGGTCATATGCCTCAGTGTTATAGCTGATTGCAATTTAATAAAATTGAAATTAAGATTAGTATTAATGTTTGTATATAGGTATCCCTCAATGATATATAGCATGGACAGACTGAGAAGAAATGGTATTCATCCTCAATTTCTTGCCTATTACAGGATAGGCAAATGCGTTCTTTTCTTTCATTAGTGGTATAACGCCCACTTTCAATTGCTAGGGAATGGGCACTGAGTTTAAATTTACTGAAAACTGATCTGTCAGTTTTTTATTTACATATATCGATATACGGGGTTCTTTTTCCATTTTTTTTAGTCTTACAAAAGAAATTTAGTTTTTCACATTTAAGGATAGAACAGTTCATAATTTGATATGCCTGGTCAACGATCTTTGTTTGATAGTATTAATTTTATATAATATTTCATATTAATGGGGTCAAAAGTAAGATGGCCAAATCCTAATTTATTTAACCAGTCTTATACAATGTTAACCCATTTACTTGTTTTCTATACATCATTATATATTTTATAGACTAATGAATTAGATGAGTTTACAATGTGGTTTAGAAATTTTATAGTTGAAAGCTGAATTTTTAAGTGCAAAGGAGTTCTGTTTGTCTCAGCTAGACAAGCTACATTTGTTGTTTTGCACTGTACCACTAAAATTCCCTTAATAAATTTTATATGTATATGTTCAAATGGATCTGAATCAAACTAAAGCACCGACGCCGGGAATCGAACCTAGTGAATTTGTTAAAATGAGCATAGAGCATGGCATGATAGAATTATTTTGATTCTAATAGGAAAACTTAGAACTTTTATACATCGAAGCGGGCTTATAATACACGTTCGAAAGGCAGCCATTTTGATTTGATGAAGCCAAAACGATACTGAAAATACGCCCTTTTAAAAAATTCAATGTTTCACAAATAATACATGGATATAAAGTAAAATCATTTCTTAAAATACTGCAAAAACAAATTCATTCTGGTTGGTATAGTGGTATTGTCATAAAGTGCGTTGAAATGAACCATGGTATAGCAAACATCGAATTCCCTCACAAAATGTTATCACACACTTATAAAAGCGAATTATTGTTTCACTATTTCACTTTCAATAATGATTGAACAAAACAAAATCATATTTTGATATTTTTGCATACATCTGGTACAGTAAAATTGGTATCGTTAGTGTTATTAGACCTGTCGAATATCAAACATTAATTTTTATAAATATCTTAATCTCGATCAATATTATAAACATATCGATCTTATCCTAGAAATATGTTTGTATAAACTACTTTCAGACTTTTAAGTGATGTACTTATAAGCTCCGATGGCCACTATAAAAGAGAAATAATTCTTATTGGAATTTAGAGTTGGATGCTGTATCCCGTTACACGATAAACGGCTTCTAAATGGAATTTATAATGAATAACAAGCACTATTTCAATGCCTTATTTCTAGCAATATAAAACAAAATAATGGATTGAAGAATTTGTAAATGAGGAATTGCAATTTGATTTGTCTTTCATGAATTTTATAGATTCATCGACATTTTTTGATTTAAATACGAAGGATTGAAATAAAGTACCAATTTTACTACGAGTTAATGGAGCAATGTATAAATTTCACATGCGTGTGCTGTATTGGCCTTTACATGATACAGTTGCAAAAATCAGGGAAAAAACTAACTGACCCTATATATGACATGCATTACAGGGGTTAGCACGTCATCAAATGTATCTAATCAAAACTGTTCAAGTGATAAGTATTTAAGAATTGAATCCCCTTATTGTAGTTTTGCACATTTTGAAGTAATAATACTGGCTAGGGAATCCCTTAAAAAAGGGTTGTTTCAATAACGACATTCTTGTGTTCACTATAAGTTTAGTACTGTTAAGTTTGAATTGTTTCTGTATTCTTGTCTTGCTTTCTTTACTTTAATATTAACATAGTTGAACATGAAAATAGTTGGTGTTTATAAGATGCAAGCCTTTTTCAACTATAAGCATATACATAACAGTTGAAAAGTATCTATCAAACTTACTAAACCATTCTCATCCTAACGATATTTTATTTGAGGAAATCCTAATCAATAAATGTTTAACTATCTTTGAACTGAAAGACCAATGAAATGTTAGCAACATTTAGTGATAGGAGGCCGAAGTCGATACTTTATTAATATATTTTTTCTTTGACTTAAAATAATGACGGATCGACACGTTCTCCCTGGTCAGCACTGGTACGAAGGTATTTTATTTTTTGGATACAGTCCACCAGACATTCTAGATGCTGTAAAACATTTTGAAGTTCGTGACGACGATGTTTTCATTGTAACTTATCCAAAAGCAGGTAAGAAAATGATTTCCAACGTATTTGTATTGCCTTATATAAACACAGTAAACAGTTAAAACAAATCTTTTCTACCATAAATTATCATGTTATTTCCAGGGTCGTAAACGAATTCTGCCTGAAAATCTATGTACGAAAAACTGCACGCAGCTGACGATAAGCAACCACGAGAAAATCGTGAAATCGCCGCTAAAATAATGTGCATATATGCATTTCAAACGACAACATGCATTTTTAGGTAGAGTTGTTGTTTACAAGCTATAAGTGAACTCCGAAACCAAGGTTAATTAAAGGTGACTTTGACTAAATTGAAATTTGAATTTTAGTCTGTGATAATATGGTTTATTTATTAATTTGAAATGGCTTTTAACTGACTTTTTGTGACTGCGAGTACTCTAAGATCGGGACCTTTTGTTTTTGTCTTTTTGTTAGGATTTTGTATGGCTTATTTCCGATCTGATTATTCAAGCATTTACCAACTGATATTTAAAGTTTTGTTTATGTTGTGCTGTTGTTACACCATTTCCCCTAAATCTCACGATTCTTTTTGTAAACGTCACAGGCAAGGAAACTTTAATTCCGTGATGGTCGTTGGTTGCCGTCTGCATGAATTGTTTAATATTTTTGTCATTACGGGACCTTTTATGGGTTATCATACGGAGTGGGTTTTACTCATTGCTGAAAGCCGAATGGTGCCCTATGGTTGTTTTTTCTCCTCGTCCTTAGGTCTCTTGTGGATATTTGTTTCATTGGCAATCACACCAAAACTCCTTATGCTTACATTCAGTTTCCTCAAAGGTTTAATGAATGACACCATGATTTAACTGACAGCTATGGAATATCTTGGAATATGTCCCATATGACCACTGATGATTTAATTTGTCGAAGTCTATCCTGTCCTTCATTCGTCGCTTATGACATCAACTAATGAGTCTTATCACTTATCAGCTGATGTTTACTGGTCACGATCCAGAGAAACACATCGGATGCGCAAGAATTGCTAACCTTTCGAAGCACCCGGGATAAACCCGGTTTTTGCTGGATTTATGTTGCTTAGTTTTAGAGGGTTTTTTTGGGGCTGGTGCCTATCTATTTGTATTTTTTTGTTAACGTCAATCTTCCACTTATGGTTTTAGAATTTGGTATCTTCTAACTTTTATAAGCGGTTGTAGCGTCTTTCTGGAGAAGTTGCACATGAGATCACACACGATTTTGGTGGGTTTCGTGTTGCTCAGTCTTTTAATTAGTTTTATATGTTGTGTTTTGTATACTGTTTTTGTCTTTGGGTCTTTATCTTTTTTTGCCATGGCATTGCCAGTTTAATGAGTTTGAATGTCCCTTTGGTATCGTTCGCCTCTCTTTTAAAATGTTTTTTTACTATTTTCAATTTTCAATTTCATTGTTTTGTTTTTAAAGGTACAACATGGATGCAAGAAATAGTATGGTTAATTCTCAGTGATGGAGACTTTGAAAGAGCGTCGAAACAACAGGTTTACTTCCGGTCCCCTTTCCTAGAATTCAAAGATGATATTTTGAATGAAGTTGGACTAGATTTAGCAAATCCAATGCCATCGCCAAGAGTTATTAAAACGCATCTCCCAGTAAAACTTGTACCTACCCAACTGTGTCAAAAAGAATGTAAGGTGAGAAAAAAATACACTTTGATATAATACTTTTTCCGAATTAAAACTATTGCTATACTATTACTTAAAGTTATCCGTAATGTTTGTTGAACTATAGTAGTGTGTAATAATCATCTTTGCTATACTTAAGTGGAACAGTAAAGATAAAATAACCAACCAAAACATATTTGGAAACTTGAAGATTTTTTCACAAGAACATACTCATTTGTCAACAAAAATAGTGTTGTGTCTGTTTTTATTTTCGGTTTTGTTGAATAAAAGGAGGTGAGGGTTATATGTTGATTATAAGGCAACAACACGAACAACCAAAAGACATCTAGAGCGCAACATACAGTCTGTATAGACAGGTGTATATTGTTTGTTTGTTTACTAAATAATACTCTTCACTCTTTCGGTTTTATTCTTGTATGTTAAATGTATTAGTTTTCTATTTTCATTAACACTTTAATATTATTATTCAGCGTAGTTACACCTGAAACAACTACCCAAGATTTTGATGATTGATAAACATATTTTTCATATGTTTTCTAAACTCATAACTCTGTACCATTTGTTATTCATATATCCATATGCATAAAGGGCGATGGCATATTATTACAAGATCAGACTAGAAAACTAACTGATTTATGTACAAAACAATAAACGAAACAAAAATGATATATAGCAAAATAAGACAACCCCTGAACTACCCCTGCATTAAAGGATCCTGACTTGGGACAGGCACATGCAGAATGTGGCTGATTAAACATGTTTGCACCCCCAAACCTGGGACAGCAGTGTAACAGCACAACATAAGAAAACACTATAAAATCAGTTGAAAATGCTGTCTTATTTTTCCTCTGTTTTGGGGTATTTGTTTTTTTTTGTTTTTTTTTCATGCTCTCATCGGCTATTCAAGGACGAATTGAAAGTGTTAACGTTTTTGTTAATTAACAAGATGAGTAATCTTTATGTTTTGTATCATTGACAAACTTCAATGAAGACTTTTGGTGAATAAGTTCAAAATATAAATAACGAAAAGTCAGGAATAATCGGAATTTAAAAAGTTACTTACCCAAGCAATTTGCACGAAGATATCTGCTGGAATTCTGGTAAAAAGTATGCAAAGTTTCAAAACAATTTATATTATGTCTTCAGGTGGTTGTCATGTTTCGGAATCCCAAAGATCTCTGTGTCTCATATTATCATTTCTACAGATCAAGCTCTTCTTTCGGAAATTATAAGGGAACGTGGACTGAATTCGTAGACATGTTTAAAGACGGGCATGGTAAGAGGTTTTCTTGTAATAATGTATATGTATCATCTCCATTATGCTTTTTAAAAAATCTTAGATATATGCTTAGTTGGACCATTTCAGGAGACAATGTACGCTGTGTTCGAGGCATTGGTCAAGTATTACAACAAATGCAACATAAAAAAAAGCCTTTCAAGAACTGTTTGACAATTTAATTGATTAGCTTTTGTGTCAACAGCCTAACTATATATTAAACTATTCAAACACAACATTTAGTCAAGATAGTACGCTTGACATTCAATTTAAACCCAGAAAATTCAGTGTAAAGCTTCCGTTAAAATGCAAGTTATTCAAGTTTTTATACATCCATATGCTAATACTTTCTAATAATGAATTATTCACACTAATTGGTTTCTAGTTAGATGAAGTAACGTGTAGTATTTACAAACAAGAAAAAAAATATGAAAACAGCACTGTATAAATTCCATGCGTCTGAAGCGTTTTTCTGGATTTACTTTCATCAGGAACGCTCAAGCCGAATATTTGAAAGCCAAGGCTGTATAAGAACCGAAACAGTTGAAGAGCTATGCAATACAACAGGACATAATGCGATCAAAATAAATCCTTGCTGAAGTCTCTTTGTTACATAATTCACATATTCAAACAAGTCCATAATTGAATCCCGTCAATTTAAAAAAAATGACGAAAATTACCAAAGGGAGAATCAATATTCATATTTCGAATAGAGGCAAAATCATGACATACAAAGGCAAAATCATGACATAAAACGGCAAAATCATGACATAAAACGGCAAAATCATGAAATAAAAAGGCAAAATATAAAGACAAACAAGTCTAAAAAATCTATAAACAAAGAACCCTACCAAAAAACCGGATTATGATGTTATATCAGAGTGGTTATTAATGTACATTTATACAACTCAATTTGGTGGTGTAGAAAGTTCTTTTTTCACAGATTTAAACAATTTAGGAATAAATGCAAAGTCACATACAAAATAATCATTTTTATAATTTGTTCAAGAAATGAATGTTTTTGTAGATTTATTGCAAGTAAAAGCGTTGATATTTTGTATAAGAAGCGCGAAATCCAATAAAAAGTGTAAGAAGAATCATGCAAATCATATATATTATAACATTGTTATGTTCAAACCAGGAAATTACAAGTTAATTCGTTGTATCTTTCCCTCTTAGTTCTGATGCAAGAATAATTTACTAATACGATTTTTCAGTCTGTGTGATATTTCATAAATGAATTATATTTCTGAAATATGTGCTATGTCATTATAATTAATAGCATTTAGCAAAACTTTGGAACCAAAATATCAATTGCAGTAATATTGATTTTCGTAAAGGATCTCAGATAGCAGGGCTTAAAAAGTTCGATCAGAGAATGTATAATTGATTGCTGATATTTGCGAGCTTTTTTCCCTGGTAATCAATTTACTTATGACTAAAATAACATACTAAATTAGACAATAAATAGCACCAAATATTAGATATTGTCTTTTGTTTCGCCTTCGAGATATTTTCCGTTTAAAACACAGGCTTCAATTGATGAGAAGATGAAAGCGACATGGCGCACTTAGGTGTTTGTGAAATGTCTAGTGTAAATCTGCGGAATTATGAATTAAAACGAGAGGAAACGTTAAAATGAGAGTAGTGATAACACTTTAAAGTGAACCGAAAGTCAAAAAGTCGACAAAGAGAAAGTCAAAAAAGTCAAAACGTTTAAGAGTAATGAAGTGAAAAACATTGAATGTAAATCAAGAACAGCCAACACACCTGCAATGTCAGATCTAAACAAACAAAACACCGGTCATCACAATTCATCGCACATGGTGCAAGATCGAAGCTTATTATTTTCCGATGAGCCAACAGTTACAGTATTTCAACCACTATAAACAATGCCAACACTTCAAACGAATATCAACAACTAGCATGACTCAGTATGTCAACCACCACAAACAATGCCAACACTTCAAACGAATATCAACAACTAGTATGACTCAGTATGTCAACCACCACAAACAATGCCAACACTTCAAACGAATATCAACAACTAGTATGACTCAGTATGTCAACCACCACAAACAATGCCAACACTTCAAACGAATATCAACAACTAGTATGACTCAGTAACCACCCAGGGATGAGGATTTATTTTCAAAAATAAAAAACATTGAAAGTAGGCTGAACAAACTTTACAAAATAAAAACCCTTGTAAAAAGTGTAGTAAAGGTATTCAAGTTGAATATGATACACAGATTTTGAACCAGAGATTGTGTGATTCTGATCGGGATACAAAACATTCAAGAGAAATCTATGAGGATCTGAGAAAAAAATTGCAGAACTTGAAACTCAAATCATAGACGTTAAAAATAAAATAAAGTCACAATCATTTCAATAAACTAATGTCTGAAAAAAAGATTAAAATTGACAAGACTGAAGAAAAGATGAAGGACGAGAGTGTTAAAATGAAATAAGAACTTATTGGTGTTCAGATGAAAGCAATGAAAGCAAATCTTATATGTTATGATATCCCTGAAGTGGAAGGTGAAGTGATTGTAAAAGACATGCATAACTTTTTAAAAGAAAAGCTGAATAAAATAGAAAACGAGAGGAAAGTAAACATCAAAAGTGCTACTAGAATAGAAGAGGGAAACATAATTTTACCTATATTGGTGAAGTTTGCAAACCATTAAAGTAGAAATGTTTTTCTCTGACTGTTAATGACGTCTTTTTACTAAATCCATTTGATGTTGGATTTGTACTGATTTATATTTTAGTCTTAGATACATGATTACTTTGTATTAGTTGTTATTGGCTTTGAACTAGCTGTCAGTAACTGCCGACTGTACGGTATGGGTTTTTTTTCATTGTTGAAGGCCGTACGGTTGCCTATAGTTGCTTACATCCACTTCATTAAAACTTGGGTGGATAGTTTTCGCATTGGCAATCATACCACATCTCCTTTTTATAACTATGTCAATTAAGAAAAAACTAAATAATTTATTAAAGATACTCTATAGACAAAGCACATAAGCAAGAATGAAAGACAAGAATGCAAAAATGACCATAGAACAATAACACAATGGTGGGATGTATAAATACCGAGCCACGCCAAAAGGATATTACCAAAAATGAACTAAACAGTAAAGGTTAAAAATATACAAAGTAATAAAAAGAACACTATAGGTGTCAGACCACCAATTCAAAATCCCTATCTATTCAACCAAATTTTGAAATTTTCACAGATTTCTTAAAAAATTACCTTTAGATTAACTTCATAGAAACCATGTATATCCTGAATTGTACATGTAACAAACTACTACTACTAAATATATCCCCTGGTTTTCTGGAAATCTTAAATTAGTATACTATGGAGCACATTAATCCTCAATTTTTAATGCAAAGTCATAGACAAGTAAATTTTGGCTCAAAATGGTCTAAATATATTTCTATTTCACCAAAAGTTTCATTTCTGCAAATTTGTTGGTTAGTTTAAGTAAACAATGCCATCAAAAGCACCATTTTGTGTCAGAGTAGGGCTACTTTTACATACGTTCTAAATTGGAGGGAGTGAATTGGTGGTCTGACACCTATAACACGTAATTAAGATGATAAACAACGTCAGTACCTACAATCTATACTTCAAGACTATCATGTATTATTTGTGAAGTTGATGCTGAATATTTATCAACAAGGTCTTGGTACCTTCCGATGAACTTTTTTCTTGAAAAAGGACGAGCCTTTCTTTGACATAACCTTGATTCATCAACTTACTGCTCAGACACTGGTGACGTTTTATAAAGACTGAGTAGCATCTGCAAACTCTTGAATACCGAATAAGTTGGGAAATGTATATTCCATATGCAGGTAAAGTTGGTATATTGCTGCTGAGGTAGGGGAAATTTATAATTGTCTCGTTTGTCATAGATTCTGGTCAAAATTAGAAGTATATTTCAAATATATTGTCAAATTCGAGGAATAAGTCTAAAAATGAGGCGGAGGCAGCCGTGTCTGTTGTTTCTTTAATTTTTAGTTCTGAAGGATATATTAATGGAATCCAATCAGAAAAGTTTGGATAATTAATGGAATGAACGTCATCAATATATCGGAATATGAAATGAAATGATCTGGCTTCTTCCATCTTCTTGTTTTTGACAAGTGTCTGAAGGAACGCCGACTCATATAAAAATAAGATGAGGTCGGCAAGGAGAGGCGCACAGTTTGTTCCCATAGGAACCGTTTTCAGCGTGGTAAAAGGTAAATGTTACTCTTATTTCAGTTGTCAGGTTAGACATTTACTATTCGAGATTTTAAACATATGGTTTTATTGGTGAAATCATTTATGTTCTGTCATTTAAGATTTCACATCCTTTCTTATTCGTTTACATGTTGACTGTAATAACAATTTGTTTTGTCTTTGTATTCCAGTTGATCATGGATCTTGGTTTGATTTTACACGTGGCTGGTGGAACCTGCGACAACATGAAAATGTTTATATTGTATTCTATGAGGATATGAAAAGGGTAAATAATCAAAGTTTGAAAGGCGAATGTTTACGCCTGGGTGTATAAAATTCTTTAAATCTCAATGTGGAATGAGACAGCAGCGTAAACATACTTCAAGGTTTGACTCATTCACCTATACATTGAGAGTTGATAAAAACTGAAAATTAGCAAGAAGAAAACTATAAAAGCTCCCAAACAAAAAAAAGTGAGGAACAAATCATGGTAACAAATGATAACCAAATCATATGATTTCTTTATGATTTGAAAGTGATAAAATTTCACATGCAAATGAGCTAACAAATCACAACAACAAATCACAAACAAATTGCTTCCAATTCATAAGCAAATCATAAACAAATTGTCAAGAAATTGTATTGAAATCATTAACAAATCATAGGATATTACTTTCCTACTTTAAGCAAATCACAAACAAATTTGTTTCAAATTGTAAAGAAATTATAAAGAAATTGTTAACAAATCTTTAACAAATCAGAATGAAATCATATTCCTATCTCAAGCAAATCGCAAACAAATTGTTTTCAAATTATGAAGAAATTGTAAACAAATCGTTATCAAATCTTTAACAAATCAGAAGTAAATCATAATCCTACATTAAGCAAATCACAAGCAAATCGTCAATTAATTGAGATCATCATCGATTCACAGATTAAATCATTTACATCTGGATCAAAAATCTGTTCTGCCCCTGAGACCCCCAAACTTTGAAGTGCACTTGTCTTTATTTTACCTTAGCTACTCCTCTGATTGTTAAGGGATTATTATTTCGGGTTGTCATGAGGGAGCAATTGTTCCCTCTGTGAAAAGTTTCTCTCACTTCTCCAGAATTTGAATCTAACGAGATTTGACAACATGGGCAACCACGTTTACTAGAAGGATGTCGAATACTAGTAGGCGATGGGTCTTAGTCTGGGTCCAAATCTGCTACAGCTCTATACCTGACCAGTCAACATCATGAAAAATTTAAACATAAAACTTACCAGTGCATATTGTCTGCTGATTCGGGAAGCTACTCTTTAATTGCTCGTCTCGTTCTGTTTACATGTCTTTTACACATTTTTTTTTTAAAAATTTATCCAGACAGTACACATAACGAGATATTGAAATGCACAGTTTCCGAATATAAAAGTTTAACACCTTTGACATGTTTGCATAGTTGACTTACAATTGAATTCCTGAAACAATAAGTTAATGACTAAGATACTTACCACTGTCATCATTGATAGTATATCTTACTCTTCATCTTGCAACCTTCTTTGTTCAGTTAATGTAGAACAGTATTTGAAATTTGAATTTGACCTCAACCGGAAGTCAGAGATAAAGACAAACCCAGAAAATCTGAATGCAATAACATTGTTTTCATTGTAGCAAATCATCAATGAATCACACCATGATAGCTAACAAAGTTAACAAATCATTTTCAAATCATTTCCTATGATATTCCAAGTAAACAAATCATAACGAAATCACACAATGTTAGCGAATAAAGTTAACAAATCTTTTTGAAATCATTTCATACGATATTCTAAGTAAACAAATCATAAAGAAATCACACAAAAACAGAAACAAATTGCTAACAAATCATACATTTCAAAGAAATCACAAAGAAATCAGTTTTGGGAATTTGGCGAATTCTGATTTGTTTATAATTTCTTTAATGAATCGCAAGCAAATGGTACTAACAAATTGCAGAATTACGATTTGAAAGAGATTTGAATACTATTTGAAAGCAATTTGATCATTTATTTTTCTGTATGGGAGCTTTGCATCCGCAATTATTATTTTTTTAAACCGAAGCGCGTATTCTTGTAAATAGGGTACAACGAAGCCGGAAAAAACATGTTGGCACAAAGTATCTTTAGAAACAGTTAATTTATTGTTCACGATATGTGAAAGTTACATCCTTTGAATATTTTTACATTTGACTAATGAAACGTAAAGCATTCCGCCATATTTAAGTCAGCTTTAAAACTTTTTATATTCTACTTCACTTCGTTCATACGAATATAAAACATTTTAATTTCTCTATAATAAATAACACAAACAAATCCAACGGATTGAGATGGCACACTAACCAGTTCGATAACAAAGGATATGTTAGCGATTATTAAAGATTGAGACATTTTGAAACCAGTAATCTGTTCCTCATATTTTCTTTTATGTATCCGTCTTTAGCTAAATCAGATTTCCATCGACCATGAGATTTTGATAGCCTTTCAGGTACACGATTGTGTGCTGCTTCAGATGCACCACCGCATCTCAAACTGTGCAAACCAAATTGTTTAGTATCGAACCCCAAATCGGATAAAACTTTCAACAATGTCTCTCTAGCACGTGTATATGATAAAGATTTGTTCGTTTTGCATAATGTATATGTGTTAGAAGATTTTCAGTAGCTAACTGCTCTAAAAATGTACTACTGATATGAATCGGTAGATATATCGGCTGCTTGTAAATATCGCTCAAACATAACCACCGGACATGCCTTACTGTGAGTTCTTGCTATCACTACAGTATTACCCTGTCTGTAAAAGTCAGTGTTGCTACTTTCTATATAAATTTCCAAATGTGATCGAAATAACTTTAAATTCGAAGTTTAAATATTGGCAAGTTTTTATTCACTGGTTTAGATAAGATTCTTACGCCGCCTTTAAGAATCAACTAAAGGAAAGGCACGGAAATAACTGTACTATAAAGATTGAGCTCATACTCCCATTTTATTGCATAGAAACAGTTAAGAAAAACGGATCTTAGAAACTTCTTTCTGAATCAAATGTGACAAGTATATATCAACTGTAGTAACTGAAGCTGGTAATGCTACTAGGTCGTAACTTTTACACCAAACTCGGAATCTCTTGAATGTATCAGCGTAAGATTTTATTGTTGACATGCTTTTACTAGCTTCTGAAATTGATGGCAAACGATTTGCAAAATCACGAAGAGGAGGATTATCTAAAGTTTTCAATTGTTGCCAATGCGAAAAATTGAACATATTCTGCAAAAGAAAAAAAAATGATTTGCATGAAACGTGGAACATAAAAAGGATAACAAAATAAAGGACTCTAACTAAGCAAGGATACTTATGTAAAATATATACAGTAAAGATCCATGTGTGACGATTGTATTTATCACGAATATCCCATGACGTTGAAAGTTAAAGGATTTTGAGTAAAAAATACTGCTTTTGTCTGATCCGACTTTAAAAAATCTGCTTGCTTTACTTAACAGACCTAACAAATTGGTTATGTGATGACGACCATAATAGTGGCCAAAATTGGAAGAGGTCCACTTTGGAATTAATAAAGTTCCATAGCCCCGACACGCAGATAAATGAGTTAATGCTCTATCGACATTTATGGTCGGTGGAACTAACGGCAACAATTGTTTGACGACCAATCAAAAGAAAGTGCATCAACGCCTGCGGTACCAGGACACCAGTAAGGAGAAAAGAATCTGGACACCTTGTGATTATTTGCATCCGCAAAAACATCGCAAGTAAATTGACACTGACCAATCGTCGAAATCGAAGACTTTACTAAAAGCGTCCGCAATTACATTTTCTTCACGTGGTATCCACTCGGCTTCTAAAGAAATAGAGTTTTTCAAACAAAAATTAAAAATAACGCTAGCCAATTCTTGCAACTCGGCCTTCATGCTTCCGGCGGATAAAATACGGACGGCATTTTAATTATCTGTGAAAAGCTTTACTAATCTATAATGTAACAAATATAGCAGCGAATGCAATGTTATTAAGACGGCCTTCAGTTCTCTAAATGTTGAACTTTAAACAGCCTCCTCTGAAGACCACATCATGTGAACGACTGTATTAGCACCGTTTACTGAAAAACCGGCACAAGCGAAATTGCTAGCATCAGTATAGACGATATGTTCCGGGCAAAATATTTTCGCGATTATCTAACCAAAACTTAACTTCCGTTTCATATTCCTTGCTCAACATAACTGTGTCGTCCCAGAATCGGGATGTAGCAATCTTTATTAACATGTTTCTGCTCATTTTTCTGCATATGTTCCCAAAGCTCGGCAAAAAAGATATAATCTTTCTCGTAATCTCACCTAACCGCCTCGCTGTTAAAGACTTTGAATTACCGGTGATGCTTAAAATATCGTTCTTAAATCTGTCAGGTTTTTCTTGTGGGATCTCTAAAGAACAATTAAAGGGGCATTAGCTGTCAAATTCGTGTTCACCGATTTGACTCAAATTCTCATATTTGATTAATACCATACTAAAACATATATCCAAATTACAATAAGTCTGAAATAAACAATTAACAATGCACGGACTAGATAATGTATATCAGCATTTCATGCGTATTTTAGTCTAGACGCCATCTAATTAACCATCGAGATGACCCCCGAAGACTGCCAACGGTCACATTACCCGATATAAACGTAAACATAAATATAAATAGATAGCGACCTCGTGCAATTGGACTTTTCTAGGTCTGTTTGATTTCATGTTATAAGTTAAAAAAAATATCTGAAGTTAATAATCGCTTTTACCTGTATAAGAATGATTTTTTGTGGATCAAATCAGTCAACGAACTGGTTCACCTTTGTTTCACTTTCAATGTTGACATTTGTTTCCTTTTAATGGCTGAACACGACTAATACATGCGTAACCAATCTCTAGATAATATGTTAAATTGAAGGTCACATGAATACGGATTTAATGAGGTCGAAGTGTTCACTTGCAAGTGAATAATTCATCAGCGATGTTTCTTAGCCTATTTTGACAAAATTGAAATCAACGGGCTGCTAAAAGCGAATTATTACTTCACTATTTCAATTTCATTAATGATTGAACCAAAGAAAAATCATATTTTATTTTTTTTAAATATCTCGTAGCTAATGCCCCTTTAAGAGCTGAGATCACAAACAAAATATAACCATGAAAGTGTTTTAGTGGGTTCCCATATTCTCTTGTCTTTGGTAATAAAAAAACCTGATGATATAAGATCTTTTCTAACTTGAAACGCTAGCAATTTAGAAGACTTGAAATCTGAATGAATGTCCCAGCCGTCATCCAAATACATAATTACCCTCTGGCCTTGCGAACGTCAGTGTTTCACTAACGGCCTTAGAACTTTTGAACTTTTGAACTTTAGGCCCTGCGTTGGATAAACCGATAGGTAGTGCACGAAAGATAAAATGTCTTACTAAACTATCGAATTTCCATGCAAATCCCAAACATTTTTGGTGATCTTTGTGTATCTCTATATGAAGATATCTTGAGGTCAAATAAAATGTAAACATAAATGTTCAATCACAAATTCTAAAGCTTCAAACACACCTTCAAATTTAAACTTTTGTTTCTCAACAAACTCATTAACATGTCGAAGGTCAAGAATTAAGCGCTCTTTACCTGAAGCATTAACTGAAACGGTTAAAGGGTTGACAATGAAAGGAATTTGATCTTTCAATTCTAAAACAGTCCCATTGTCAAGCAGCTTGTTAATGGCGTGTCCGACAAATAAAGCGTGTGAACAAGCAGAACGATTATTCTTCAAATACACTGCAGACGGACTGTTAAAAAATGGAATTAAATAACCATGATAACCACTGGAAATACCATTTAAATCAAAACTGTTGGCTTTCAAAACGTCTTTCCAAAAGGCAAAAGTGTTCTTTAAACTACCGACAAAAAATGATGAATCAATGCGCAGACCGGAATTTTTGTATTCATAAATTTTATCAAATAAAAAAAAATGTGTACTTAACTGTTTCATCATGCTGACTGGAGTCTTGTTGAAATTGGCAGTTCGACTTTTCTAGGGCAGTTGTAGCAAACTTTTGGTGGGAAAGGTGATCCAACATTCAGGTTACATCATCCGAATATTACTGTGTTGTCCCCTGACCAGTTGTTGCAATTCAATATCCATTCCTAGAAAATAGAAAAAAGTTATAAACTTTTGTCTCAAACCTTAGTCTAGATGTTTGTTTCTTTTTCAGGACCTAAAAAAAGAAATAGTGAAAATTTGCAGTTTTCTTGGAAAACAACTCGACGACAAAACTACAGAACGCATCAGTGAGAATTGCTGCTTTGAAAGCATGCGTAATAATCCAATGACCAACCATTTAGATGTTTACTCTATTGATAGTGAAATATCGCCATTACTACGGAAAGGTATGTGTATGGATGAAATCTTGAATGAATCTGGACAATTTTCTGCACAAGCCAACACAAGATAGAAAATCAGAAAATATATTCATATTATATAAGCTAATTATATTGTAATCTTCACTCCTGTGCTGGTATGAAATATAATTGATACGGTGATTTTCTATAAATTTATTGTCTATCAATTGCAATTTAATTCGAAACACTAGGGTCTCATACAACCAGGCATAGATTGCCTTAGCCAGATGTAGTACAATCCATTTCCAGTGTATTTCAATTTTATGATTGATTTTGCCTTCATTGATTTTGATTCACACGCCACTGTTAAGTCTTCTGTAGATGAAAAACGAGTCTAGTGTTCTAAAATATAAGCTCGGTATCTTTGGTTTATTTTCAATTTCAATTAGCAGCAATACTGTGGTATTTTCGATTTCAGAATATTTATTTCGATTTTCGTATGACCTCGTTTATATCATGTGTGTATTAACCCATTAGTGTTGGTGATTTCTTACTAGACATCAAAATTTTTCAATCTAAAAAACTACACAACCCTTAAAAACAAGACACTGTTATGGCATGAAATATAAGCAATTGTTATTTATTTAAATTTTGAAAAAAAACAACTAAATAAATCCTGAATAAAATGGTACACAATCTAGCAATCAAACATGGTGAACCTGAGAGCTGATGACTTAATAGTTTACCTTACTTCAAACATGGTGAACCTGAGAGCTGATGACTTAAAAGTTAACTAACTGTATAGACATGGTGAACCTGAGAGCTGATGACTTTATAGTTTACCTTACTATATAAACATGGTGAACCTGAGAGCTGATGACTTAATAGTTTAACTTACTGTATAAACATGGTGAACCTGAGAGCTGATGACTTAATAGTTTACCTTACTGTATAGACATGGTGAACCTGAGAGCTGATGACTTAATAGTTTACCTTACTGTATAAACATGGTGAACCTGAGTGCTAATGACTTAATAGTTTAACTTACTGTATAGACATGGTGAACCTGAGAGCTGATGTCTTGATAGTTTAACTTACTGTATAAACATTATGAACCTGAGAGCTGATGACTTAATAGTTTACCTTACTGTATAAACATTATGAACCTGAGAGTTGATGACTTAATAGTTTACCTTACTGTATAAACATGGTGAACCTGAGAGCTGATGACTTAATAGTTTACCTTACTGTATAAACATGGTGAACCTGAGAGCTGATGTCTTAATAGTTTACCTTACTGTATAAACATGGTGAACCTGAGAGCTGATGACTTGATAGTTTACCTTACTGTATAAACATTATGAACCTGAAAGCTGATGTCTTAATAGTTTACCTTACTGTATAAACATGGTGAACCTGAGAGCTGATGACTTAACAGTTTACCTTAATGTATAAACATGGTGAACCTGAGAGCTGATGACTTAATAGTTTACCTTACTGTATAGACATGCTGAACCTGAGAGCTGATGACTTAATAGTTTACCTTACTACAAACATGGTGAACCTGAGAGCTGATGACTTAATAGTTTACCTTACTACAAACATGGTGAACCTGAGAGCTGATGACTTAATAGTTTACCTTACTACAAACATGCTGAACATGAGAGCTGATGACTTAATAGTTTACCTCACTGTATAAACATGGTGAACCTGAGAGCTGATGACTTAATAGTTTACCTTACTACAAACATGGCGAACCTGAGAGCTGATGACTTAATAGTTTACCTTACTGTATAAACATGTTGAACCTGAGAGCTGATGACTTAATAGTTTACCTTACTGTATAAACATGGTGAACCTGAGAGCTGATGACTTGATAGTTTATCTTACTGTATAAACATGGTGAACCTGAGAGCTGATGACTCAATAGTTTATCTTACTGTATAATCATGGTGAACCTGAGAGCTGATGACTTGATAGTTTATCTTACTGTATAAACATGGTGAACCTGAGAGCTGATGACTTAATAGTTTATCTTACTGTATAAACATGGTGAACCTGAGAGCTGATGACTTAATAGTTTATCTTACTGTATAAACATGGTGAACCTGAGAGCTGATGACTCAATAGTTTACCTTACTGTATAAACATTATGAACCTGAGAGCTGATGACTTAATAGTTTACCTTACTATATAAACATGGTGAACCTGAGAGCTGATGACTCAATAGTTTACCTTACTGTATAAACATGGTGAACCTGAGAGCTGATGACTTAATAGTTTACCTTACTGTATAAACATGGTGAACCTGACAGCTGATGACTTAATAGTTTACCTTACTGTATAAACATTGGCCTTTTGTTGATCTGTAGATATTTTTGTTAAACTTTATCTGCTTAATATACAGTTCTTTTGAAATATTTTGTCACACGTAGGTGCCTTTTATAACGCACGAATTACATTAAAGTGGTATAAAACACAAAACATTCAATTCTGAAGAGGATTGTGATTTGTTGTTTTTCTTTTCAGGTACTGTTGGTGACTGGAAGAACCATTTTACAGTACAACAAAATGAAGATTTTGATAAATTTTATCAATTGCACATGGACGAGTTCAATATCCCATTCCAGTATGAACTTTGAAATCCATTGCATCATGCACAGTGTTCTTTCCAAAAAAAATAGGACAAGTAGAAGTTAAAATGTATTTAAACAAATATTTTTTTATTTAATCGTTATTTTTTAACCTGCGTTGCCAAAGGAGAGCAGGTTTAGTATCCGCTTCACTCCGTCTGTCCAAAACACATAGAGGCATCAAATTTTGTGTCATCCCTAGTTCCTACATTTTACCTAAACATTATTTGAACTATGCACAGTGGTTGTAGACATATTTAAGGTGTGCACCTCCTTTTTAGACATAGTTGAACGTTTTTCTTTTAGGTTCCCATGATTGGAACTCAGATGATCCGGAAATGTATACGCAGTTTCTTTTCCACTTGTGGGACCCATCGTATTACTCATTGCAAATACAAATTCGTTTATGAGTCGTATTCCGTAATATTCCGGGGCATTAGAAGAGTATCTTAGAATACACTGTTATTGATAATTTAAGAGTACGGGCCTTCGGACAATGACTTGCCTAAAATTTGGTGCTCGACCTGAATGAGCTGAAACAGGTAAAAATGGTGTGGGCTTTGCTTATTGTTGAATGCCGTACGGTGACCTATAGTTGTTAATTTCTGTATCTTCTTCTTCTTCTCTAGGTTTTCAGTAGTCCTTCATTGTCTGAAGATTATTTACTGTTTTGCGCTGCGTGTCCTATATATATATTTACAAAAACACAAAAATAATTGAAAATGAATTTGGAGTGCGTAAAAAATTTTTAAATTGTGATTAAAACTATGTACATAGGCTAATAATGAGTTAAATGAATTTGTGGAGAACAGTTGGTGTAAGCTGTTCTCTGAAAGTGTCGACTGTGGTTACAGCGACTGTTGACTGGTAGTAAATTCCATTGATTAATAGTGTACGGAAAAAATGAAAATTTATATGTATCTTTTTTGGTTGAAATGTGTCTGAAAGTGAAACTATGATTCTTGCGGGTTCTACTGTCTGATGGTATGATAATAGCAGATGGGATTGCTACGATTTGATGTACTATTTTGTAGAACATTATCAATCTTGTGCGTAGTCTTCTTTCTTGTAGCGTGGGCCAGTTTAGTGAGTTTATCATGTCTGTAGGACTACTGATGTTATGGTACCTGTTACAGACATATCTGGCAGATCGTCTTTGGACCATCTCGATTTTAGAGGTTCGTTCAACTGTGTGAGGGGCCCATATTGAACCTGAATATTCAAGCTTAGGACGAACTAGTGCCAAATATGCCTGGGTTTTGATGTTCTGACATGATGTTTTTAAATTTCTTTTTAAGAAGCCCAAAGATTTGTTTCCATTAGCTATGATGTTGTCAGTATGTTTTGACCATTTTAAGTTTCCTTGTAGTGTAATGCCCAGATATTTAGCTGAAGAGACTAGTTCAAGTTTGTGATTGTGAAGGATATAGTCATGTTTAAACTGCTGTTTCTTTTATGATACTGTAAGGACTGTGCATTTGTCTGGATGGAAAGCCAACCAACCAGTCAGTTGGTCTCTTGTGGGAGATGTCTCATTTGCAATCATACCACATCTTCTTATTTTTATACATTTTGAAAACGGAAATTTTCATTCAACGAAGATAAGAAACAAAAAATGTTTGACTTCCGTGTATAGTTAATGCAATGATAACGAGAAATTGTTTTCCGTGTCATGTACACTTTACACTTCACAAAAGAAAATTATCGTCATTAAATTTGATTTCTATTGTTTACTTGTTTGTTTTCTTCTATTTTTTTCAGTAATGTCTTTTTATGAATTGATAAAAATTATACAATGACATTGTGCACTGCATTATGTATCTTGATGTAACAGAGGTCACACTGTTATTTTGTCGTCAGTTCAAATTTATTCGGTTTGACAGGCCATTTCATATTATCATTCCTTGTGTATTAAACAACCTCCAGTATGCCTCACTGACTATAATGATAATCGACTTCAGATGTCGAGTAGGAGTTCTGTTAAAATTCATCATTTATTCGTATTGATATATATGCAAGGTAGCTTTACGTCCAGCTGCAAATACGACAAACCGAGAACTTGTTTTATAATGTTATATGATTATACATCGGAAAATAAAATGTTGGCCCGTTGACAATGATTTTTCGCATAATACACGTAGTAAATGCGGTAATATTCCACACGAAGACAAATAACGCTTTCATCTTATATTTTATTTAGAGTCGACCAGAGCCGACCACTTTTTGCACCGTGTATTTGACGAAGAACGCATATATTTCAAAGCTTTTTGAGGTTGATTTCTAATGATTCTCGTACTTCCTAGACATAACTTAACTTCCCTTTCAGTATTTTAACGGGCGCGTGACGACACAATTTAAGAAGGTTCAGGCACATGTTGCTTTTATTTGTGAATAATTTAAATGATACTGACGCGTGGTAGATAGTATGATTAGATGATAGACTTGTCGAATGAGAGAGAAACTGATAAAGAGCTTCAATGACTCAGAAATACTGTGGCGGACTATAGTGGAATGTTGTATGAGATGCGTCTGCAGTGCGACTGATAAAACAGAAAATAGTTTGGAATACTAATTTGAAAAAAGGTAAACAGGTAAGCTATTCGTCTGCATTTTTATCTTTCTACTTAAGATATATATAATTGATATTAAGACCTTCGTTCTATAAATACTGCATGATTTCAGCTGGTTTGTTTTTTTTTTTTTTTCAATATTATCTGTTTTCTTCATGTTTTCGAATGGATCTGAATACATGTTAAAAACCTAATTGCTTTACATGATTTATTTTCCGTTTTATATATCAGATGCAGGTTTCCGTTTGTTTCTTTGTTTGCTTTGCTTTTTAGTTTATTTCTTTGTCATGTTTGTTGCATTCCATCGTCATTTCTAATCACTCACACTTTATCGTTGAGCTCTTAAGTGCAGTCTTACAAATATAATGATTGAGATATAGATAGCATGTTGCTGCACACTTCTGCATGTAAAACGGTAAACAGTAGGGTTCTTGAAAAGTTCCGTATATCAAAATAAACATGATGGTCTGTCCATCAATGTTATTTAAACCATCTGTCTGCATACACCTGACAGGAACCACGTGCCGTAGGGTTATCTATATTTCTAACACAAGTAATTATCAGAATTAGAGTTGGCTTTGATATAGATATTGTGTACATAATTATCCAGGTAAATTCTGAATAATTCTTCTGTTGTAATTACTTACATGTAATTAAACTCTGCAATGGTATATATCACACTGAATGATATACGTATCTTTCAAACATTAATATGCAGCAGCTCCTAGCTATGGGAGATTGGTCCGTTATAATTATTATTATCATTTTTTTTTTGGCTAGACAGAAATTTTACACTTTTTACGAATATAACATCTGTCTAGCAAATCGATTATTCATTATCTTGAATTAAAACTAAGGCATAATGGACTCATCTATGTTTCGTCAAGTGAAAATGAGGGTCAACGGAGTAAAAATTCAAGAAACCAAGTATGACAAATCGGAAGTCTTATAAATCGATCATTTTAAGAGCAATTTATAAGTTACTATTGGAATAAGAGACACGGGATAAGTGCCCATTTAGCACTCATCATAATGAGAAACTACATACTGTCGACCATAGTGTGAAACATTAATAATCTAAAATCTAGCTTTTACCCGAAATCTTGTGTGTGATAATTATGATTTATTACAGGTCCTTATGAAAGCCTACTTTTACTACGAATAATATCAAATAATGTTGGAAAAATATATATCACCTCACCCGGAAATGACTTGTAATTGTCGAAACCACAATCCCTTCCTCTTTTTGTCAATTGTGACATCACCGAAGAGTCTCTTCACCGAATGCTCAGACCGAATGTGTACTTACCATGAGTAACACGAAGTGTGCTCCTAATGGAGCAGGATCTGCCTACCCTTCAGGAGCACCTAGTATCCACAGTTTTGGGTGGGGTTCTTGTTGCTTAGTCTTTATTTTGCTATGCAGTGTCTTTGTTAACTTATTCGTCTTTTTGTCGTCTTTCGGTTTTTGCCATGGCGTTGTCAATTTATCTCGACTTATTAATTTTGAATATCTTCCAACTCTTTTTTTTCAGCGTGAAAATAAAATCTCTACCTTCATACCCCGCTTCATACAAGTTTATGGTAAAATTAGTAAAAGCAACTGTACGTTTCCTCTGCGAAAGAGTAAAATTGTCATAGCGGGCGAGACAAAATTTTAATACATCAAGGTTATGCATAAGGGCATATAAATACACGATTTTTTAGAGCTAGAAAAAAAATCCAACTACTGAAATGAAAATCTGAAATAAACTAAAAAACAAAGCCTCTTCGACGTGATTAACTAGTGCACATGATATTACAAAATAAAAAACAAAATTCTCTTTCCGGATGGACTCCTATGAAGCAAATAAGAAAATATCTATCAGGATAACTTGACGACAAGGATTTTACTTGCTCTAGTAATATCTTAGTCCATTTATAATCTATGTTTTTTAGACATATAAAAATGTTTTTTCTGTTACAAATCATGATGTATTGTTTTATGTGTACATGTTATGCTGCCCATCAAGGGCCCTTGATTGGAATAATAAATATTCTTCTTCTTCTTCTTCTTCTTCTTCTTCTTCTTCTTCTTCTTCTTCTTCTTCTTCTATGTTCAATTCGTGTAATCTACACAAACTAGTGATGTGGTTAGGTGTAAATTCATATGTTGAACAATATACATGGAAGGTGCGTTATATAATCGGTCGATCCTTATCACAAAATGAAGTGTATAAATGATACGATTGCGTCCCACCTTCAAGCAGCAAACAAGATGTGAGCAAAACGAGCACGCTAACCATAAAATTTCCACTCCATTTGTGGCTAAGTGACGGCCATTTGATTTTCTGAGAGGGAAGGGCACAGGAGGGTTTAAGAAATAAATATATTAGCCTGGTAAGAATTAACTGGAAATAAATAATCTTGCCCAAGACAGGATGAAAATAAATATTATGCCACTCAAAATGCAGGAATAATTATGTACAAAAGAAAAAAATAATTTTCGCACGGCAAAACTGAATACTCAATCTACCATTTTTCATCAAATGCGCTCGAAGACGAAAGTTTGGAAAATTAATGCTGATACATAAAACAGTTCAATACATCAAACCCTAAAAGATCCCATATTTAACAGCATAGCAGGTCAAGTAAACTTTACTACAATCAAATCTTTCATAAACGTTAATTATATCATCAAAATCATGCCATTCTATTCCACTAATCCGAAAATTTCTTAATTTCATTCGCTTCAACTTTACATGTAGTATACTCGACAATTGTTATACCAGGTTTAAACTTGTTTACCACGCAACATCCCAGATACTAAAGAAACTGTCAAGTACAGATTAGTATCGGTCGGGTATAGTTCATATTTGATCTTGTACAGACTTATTCCGGTTTAAACCCCAAAATCTGAAATATAGATATAAAACATTCGCTTTAATTAGGATCTGTAGTAGATTTTGTATCTTATAAGTGACGAAACCTCATCAGCCATACATTTTTAGCTTTTACAGCATTCAATGTTGACTATTTCCCCTTTCAAACCTTAAGGTTAATCTAGTTCATTGGTTCAAAACCAATTAAACAGCATATAACAAATTGACACACTAAGAATTTTTATCTCTTGATGCATTATGGTTTTATATGATGTTGGGATGCTGTCTCATAGACATATACGTAATACTCCGGCCCCAACACACACACACACACACACATATCTCATTCATTAACTAGCTTAATTTTTAGTGTTTTCTTACAATGTCTACGTAAATAGGTACCCTCTTTATGACCTTACTTTTGAATATTTTTTGGAAAGTTCGAGTACACTTGAAAATATATACTTATTTCCTTATTCAAAAATGCACATTTATACCCCTAGAGGTTAATGGCATATTCTCAAAACAAATAACACAATGTATAAAATCATAAAATGAACATTATCATATAGCAAGTTATAATTCAATAACTTGTGCAGGTATAGAGTCCCTCCTCCACCGTCCAAAATGTATTTTGGATGAATGGAACAGCAAGCTGCGTAATTTTAAATGATGACAAATATAGTTGCAATTTATCATTTTTAGAAAATTCTTAGAATTCTTGTTTAAGTTGCACCGTAAAGACTTGATTTTGCATGTAAAGAAAAATCGGCTCCATTTTAAACTTCGTTAATATTGTAATATTTACAAAATATATGTGTTTCTCTTTGAATTCTTTTATATCTACTCATCTCTATTTCCGAGAAAATTGTTACTTACTCGCATTTTACAAAATGTCTTTCTATTTAAAAAACTATTTTGAAAAATGTATTTATCTATTTCGTATTTTGTCTTAATTCTATTGTACCATTTTTTTTCTGCTTTCTTCAGGTGATTTTATTTTTCAAAGAATATTTTTGTCATAGCTATCTTTATAAATTATTCTTTTCTAAGTATTTCTTAATGAAATCTTCTCTTGCTTATTTTGATCTCTTATACTTTAATAATGTTTATATACTGAAATGAAAAAACCTGACTATGCTACAATTCAAAGCATGCATGGGCTTAACATACAGGAAAATCTTCAATTATC